CTCACTCTCCCACTGCCTCACTCTCCCACTGCCTCACTCACTCACTGCCTCATTCTCACTCTCTCGGAGACTGCCTCACTCACTCACTGCCTCACTCACTCACTGTCTCACTCTCGCACTGCCTCATTCACTGTCTTGCTCTCGCTCTCACTCACTCACTGCCTCACTCTCTCACTCTCACTCACTCACTGCCTCACTCTCTCACTCTCACTCATTGTCTCATTCACTCACTAACTCACTAACTCACTCACTCATTCACTCTCTCACTGTCTCACTGCCTCACTGTTCACTGCTTCACTCACTGACTCACTCTCACTCACTCACTGACTCTCACTCACTCACTGCCTCACTCACTGTCTCACTCTCACTCTCACTCTCTCACTCACTCACTGCCTCACTGTCTCACTCACTCACTGACTCACTCACTCACTGACTCACTCTCTCACTCACTCACTGCCTCACTCACTCACTGCCTCACTGTCTCACTGCCTCACTCACTCACTGACTCACTCACTCACTGTCTCACTCTCACTCTCTCACTGTCTCACTCACTCACTGCCTCACTCACTCACTCACTCTCTCACTCACTCACTGCCTCACTCTCACTGCCTCACTCTTACTCTCTCGCTGTCTCACTCACTCACTGTCTCACTCAGTGCCTCACTCACTCACTGTCAAAAAAAAAGAAAAAAATACAGAAAAATTTAAAAACTAACATTTAGACTTTAAAATAAAGTTTAAAAGAAAGAAATTGTGTTAAATTCAATGACAATATTATTAAACATCTAGGTAGCAGATATATATTATGATGCACATATAGCTAGAAGACTCTTGAAGAACAGCAGTTGGCCCAGGAACGAAGGTTGTATGACAAGTTGCAGGTGCATCGGAATCACCTGGGGGCTTTTCCCCAAACCAAATAGAGTTCTTGCTCCCATAATAAGACATTCTTTCTTTCTGCTCACTCTGTCCCCAATACCAGGCATTTGGGGATTAAAAACCAAACCAAATGTAAACTCTTGACTTTAGTCCAGATGTGTTCACTTTAAGGAGGGAAAACCGAGACCCTGCGAAGGTATATAGGCTGCACAAATTGACACAGCAAGTCAGGGACATAACCCCCAAACCCAGGAGTTGAAGCTGACTCATAGTGACCCTATAGAATAGAACAGACCTGCCCCTGTGGGTTTCCAATCCTGTAAATCTTTATGGGAGTTGAAAACGTCGTCTTTTTTCTTGGAGCACCTGTTGGTTTTGAACTGCTGACCTTGTGGTTCGCAGCCCAATGGGTGACCATCACACCCCCTGGGCTCCCAGTGAGGGGCATAGCTGGCTTAAACCCAAGTTAAGTCCTATTCATGTTCCATTCACCTTGATTCCTTGAAAGTCCGTTAAATAAGTAAGCAAAAAATTGGGTCCCAATAAAGTAGACACATTTCATTAAATTCTGTTAATAACAAACCAAACTCTCTTTCCTTTCAAATTCTCACAGAGATGTTCTTTCATTTGCTGTCTTTTTTCATCATTTAACTTTTCATATGTTTGTCTTTTTACCCCAACGGACATCTCCTTTAATAAATAATGGGCTGACAAAGAAAAAAAGAAATTAGTGACAGAACAGATGGGTCCATGACATTTGATTTATTTCCCAGGCTCCATTACAAGTAACTGCACTTAAACTCATGTCTGCCAGCAACATAAAGCTGGATTGCTAACTCCTTTGAACGTTTCCCAAAATAAGTTTGGCAGATGAGAGAAATGAACGGAAACAGTAATCAATTTCAGTCTGGAAAAAAATAATAAAAACAAAATACAATATAATAAATGCACACATCAAAAAGAAGAAAATATCAATATCAATTGTTTATTCCTAATAATCCAACAATTAGAAAAGGAGTCACAAAATAAGTTCACAGTCACTAGAAAAAATTATATGGTAAAAACCAAAGCGGAAATAAGTGTAGTGAAAAACTAATAGAAAGAATCAACAAGATTAGAAGGAGGGCTCATTGAGAGGATCGAAAAACATCGACAAATCACTGGTCAAATTAACATGAGAAAATAATGAGAAGATGCAAATAAATGACTAAGCTAAAAGGGATCATAAAAAATTATGAAAAATTTTACTCTCAACAAATTTGAAAATCTAAAATGGAAAAATGTCTAGAAGCATACCTAGCTACCTAAAGAAAAACAGACTCATAACAAAAGAGGAAATTAAAGCTGTCATTAAAAACAGAACAATCAAAAAAATCTTTTTTTGGGGGGAAGGGGGGAGTCCAGTTCAAGTGGTTTTATTGAAGAATTCTACCAAATATTCAAAGAAAAGTTAACAGCAATTCTACTGAAAGCATTCCAGACAATAGTGAATCTATGCATCTGCGAGCAGATGATCTTCAAAGTGCCAACTATTCATTAAGGGAGAAACAGTTTCTATAACAAATGGTGATGACAAACCTGGATGTTCACATGCAAAAAATGAATCCTGAACTATACCTTATGCCATACACAAAAACTAGCTCAAGATGGATCAGAGGCCTACATGTTAAAACTAAGAGAGTTCCTGGGAATTAAAAAAAAAAAGCTGGCTGCTGCCAAGTTGGTACCAATCGATAGCAACCCAATAGTATCAAACTATTCCATAGAGTGTTCAAGGCTGGGATCTTTATGGACGCAGACTACCTCAACTTTATCCTGCGCAGAGGTTAGTAAATTCAAACTGCAAACCTTAACTCACTGAGCCACCTGGGCTTCTTTTGACAAAGCCTTTAAAACAGAACTAAAAATGCACAAATGATAAAAGATAAATTAGATAGTTGGGACTCCCTAAAAATCAAATATTTCTGTTCACTAATACAACTTTACCAAGAAAATACAATCTACAGACTGAGCAAAAAATCCTTTGTCAATGTCATATCAGAAAAGGGTTTTAACTTTAAAATAATATATAGCAAATTTCAACACCTCAAAAACTACAGACAAGCAGTCCAATGAAAGAAATAGCTAGGCAAGGATACTTCACCAAAGATGATAGTCAGGCAGCCAACAGATACAAGGAAAGATACATGAGATAATTAACCATTGTAGATACACAAATCAATAGTGCAATAATATACCACCTCATTCTTGAAAAATGAAGGACATATATGATTTCACATTTTTTCTTTTTTTAAGTTAAGAATAGGTACGCATACAGTCAGCAACTGAGGGAGAATCAGTTTTTAGACGGTAGCCACTAGTTATTTTGTGGCAATGTCAATGTGCGTGGAGTCTGTGCAAACGATTCCATGTGAACGAAGGCATGAGCAGTCCACAGAACAAGGACAATTTCAGTAAATGCTGTAACCTCACTTTTGCAATGGCTCTAATACTAATCAAACACATGGATGGTTACCTAGGTAGATACATATGTGTATAGGAGTATACCGTGTGCGTGTATAGGTGTAGCTATAGTCGCATCTCCTGGGATAACGAGGTCCAATTGGCATAAAACAGCTCTTAACAACAATGTTTCGCGTCATAGTTTGGTCAGTGGCATCTTGGGTTTTAAGCTATAACCAATGATCCCTATTGGTGTGGGAACCAAAGAGAATGAAAGAAACCAAGACACAAATAAGAAAGTCATCCACAGGATAAGCATAATGCGTCCCTTGCCTCTCAGTTAGCCTGGGATATGAAGAACTAGATGGTGCCCAGCTACCAGTCAAATTGGGGATGCCATAGAAGATCCAGAATCCAAAGTCTGAAAAATGAACAAAATTCCAATTCCTAAAAAAGGTCAGACTTTCAGGACTGATTGAGACTGGAAGACCTCCCGGGCCTATCACCCTAGGATATCTCTTGATCTTGGAACTAAATCCATTCCAGGCTTGTCATTCAGGCTACTTCACCCAAATAACAGATTGGATTACAAAATGAACAGTACCACCTGTGAATATTGTGATCCCATAAATACCAATTGAAGGAGACTGAGTTAGTTAATTGTGCCAACCTGGCTGATAATCACATGTGGGGCTAATTGAAAGGCAGAGGGATAAATGGGTGGTGAGCCTCGCCTTTTGAGTTCTCGGGTCTCTTGCTTTGTGATGGTCGCACCAGGGTGCAGCTGCCTTAGCAGCTCCCTGCTTCAGCTTGCAAGATTGACTTCCTACAAGACATCCCCAAGGAGAAGCCACATGGACCTATCCCAATGCAGCCCTGGGTGCTGGAGCAGCCATTTGGAGACCCCTGCTAGTGCTGAGATGCTTATTTGTTCACTGACTCAGCTTTCCTCCTGCAGTCGGCATCATTGCCTCTGTTTTGTGAGGTGGAGGACTTTGTGGACTGGTGTTGGGTTAATGGGTTAATGTTGGACTTGTGGGCTGGGATGTTTTCATGATGCACACTTTGGGCTGGGATGTTTTCATGATGCACACTTTCTTTACAAAAAACTCTTTCATATATGAGTTGCTGTGGATTTGTTTCTCTAAAGTACCTAGACTAATACAGAGACCAAGAGGTTCTTTACTCTAAAAACAGCTGTTCTCAACCTGTGAGTTGCGACCCCTTTGGGGGGGGGGGTTGGACGACCCTTTCACAGGGGTGGCCTAAGACCATGCGAAAACACTTATTTCCAATGGCCTCAGGTCCTGAGCCACCGCTCCTGCACCCATCTCCAGGCAGGTCCGCCCTATGCAGATACACCCACATATGAGTAGCCGTTGTGAAGACTATTACCCATGCTATACCATGGTTCAAGACAAAATTTCATTGATTTGTTATTAGCAATAAATATTTCACAATATGACATATTGTTTTTGTGATTAATCACTACGCTTTCATTATGTTCAATTTGTAACAATGAAAATATATCCCACATATTAGATTCATAACAGTAGCAACAGTACAGTTATGAAATAGCAGTGAAAATAATTTTATAGTTGGGGGTCATCACAACATGAGGAATTGTATTAAAGGGTCGTGGCATCAGGAAGGTTGAGAACCACTGCTCTAAAACAAAGATGAGAAACTTGGGAGGAAGAGAGAAGCTGAATTATTAAGCAAAACAGAACAACAACAAAAGGGGATAATTTGTTAGAAAGTGTTCAATGGGAGCCTAGTTTACTATGTAAACTGTCACCTAAAAATATATATATTTTTAAAAAGGTAAACAAAGGGGTTTTTGTTAAGCACAAAAAAGAAGCATGTGCAAATATGCTTGACACAATGGATGGATATATGGCTTGTGATAAAAATTGTACGAGCCCCCAATAAAATGATTAAATTTAAAAAATAATAATTTTTTTTAAAAAGAAAAGAAAATGTGCTCAACACATTGGAGGAATGTATGGATTGTGATAAGAGATGTAAGAGTCCCCAATAAAAGTATTTAAAAACAAAAACAAGAAGAGGCATTTCACATAAATCCTAGTTAAACAAAATTATAACATAACAAAAAGGCTGAAGAACATGTTGCATCTGCAAAGTGAGTATCTACTTACATATGCCAGTAATGTAAGCTTACTATTTCAATGAACATGAACACATGTTAACTTAGTAAGACACAATGTTCATGCAAGTAGCCCTGGGCTGGCACAGTGGTGCAAGCAGCTGGCTGCGAGTCGAAAAGGTCTAGCTATCTGTTCGTGTATACTTGATATGAGTAGGAATCTTTCCCAGTTATAAGGAACAGCTTCAGTTCTGATGTTTTTCCATTCAAATAACTCATGTTCCTCTGCCAGAAAAGCATCATTTATATCTTAGCTTATAATTTATTTTATCACGTCCAGCAAAGCACATCTTGCACACGCAGTTGACTCCATTTGCCCAGTGCTCCGCGCGGTTTTGTCTACTTGCAATACAGCACGGCTTATTACCCGCCACATGCTGTCTCCCATGTCCCTTTCTCAACCCCGGTCCCTATTCTGTCACCTCACAGACTTCTCCTTATGAAACTCCAAAAGCCCATTGCCAGAAACTGAATTCTGACTCACAGTGGCCCTACAGGACAAGGCAGAACTGGCCCCCAAGGGTTTGTTTCCACTGCTTTGGAAATCTTTATGGAAGCAGACTGCCACCACATCTTTGTCCCGCCAAGCAGATGATGGATTTGAACTGCCAACCTTCTTTGGCTTTTAGAAGCAGATCTGTCGGTCTGTCTCCCAAGGGTGGGTCCAAACTTCCAACTTTTCAGGCAGTAGTCAAGAACACACTATTTACACTGCTAGGGTGTCACCCAACGTGACTGGCAATACAAATAACAAAAGAGCTACAAATTGAGTATCCAATTTTTTTCAACCTGAAATGAAGAAGAAGAAAAAAAAAAAGGCCATGGTTTCTTAAAACTCACCTTTTCAGTTTCTCCCGGATGGCAGGATTTTTTATTTCATTTTTCAGATCTTCGAAAGTGTGAGCAGAAGACAGGTTGCAGTACACCCGGTAGTCGTGGTAGGGCGGGATGCCGTGATCCCGGCCCCTCTGGATGTTGATGGCAGCCAGATCCAGGGCCACCGTGTGGGCCATGGAGAAGAGGCGCTCGGTGAGCTCCGTGTTCAGCAGCTGCGAGGGCACGCGCATCTTCCCCGCCACCCCAAAGAGTCCTCTCAGGAGGGGGTCGATGCCCCCCTCGTTCACGATTCGGAAGGGGGAGAAGAAGGCTTTGTGAAGGGGTAGGTGGCCTTCAGGAATCGGCTGGAAATGCTCGTCGAGGCGATAGAGGAGGGGGTTGATGAGGGTGTGGCCAAACCTAAAAGCGGCCGTGGCGAAGGCATTGAAGATGCCAGCGTTGATGCCCGGGTCGTAGCCTTTATACTCGCCCAGCATCTTCATGCCCACCTCTCCAAGGATCTTGGGGAGCCAGTGCTGATAGGTGATGTGCTGAATCTCGGCCCCCACGATCTTCCTGGTCTCATAATAGAGGGTGTCCCCGTCCCAGTGGGAATTGAGCTGGAGCAGCTCGCTGGCGACGCGGTTGTGCTCCCGCAGCCACAGCGTGTGCATGCTGGTCAGCGCCAGCTGCTCGTTGGCTCGGTGGTCCCCGGCTAAGAAGCAGGGGATGGGACTTTCGCTGGCATCCCGCATGCACTCCGTCGGGGGCCCAGTGGCAAACGGGAGTAGCGGCTTCCCAGATCTCTGCACGATGCCCTGTCTCAGAAGGCCCCGGTGGCTGGCCAGGTCTCGGATTTCCCGTGCCTCGTGATCCGTACTGCCGTACACATTGGACGCGTCGATGTACGACGTGAGCTGGTTGATCTGTTCCCGGGGGTACACGGAGTTCATGAGAAGGGACGTCATGCCGCTGCCACACACGGGGCTGGACCGCACGAAGAACATGCACCGGGCGCCATTGCGGACCCTGGGGTCATTGGGCGGGACCATGACCGAGAAACAGGGCGGGTCGTTGCTGCAGACAGAGCTACAGTGCTGGCCGTCGGAGAAGCGGGCCTGGCTCAGGGCCACCACCGTGGAGTCCAAGTCGTGGTCGAGGAACTGCCCCCACTGCATCATCATGTGAGTGAACTGGTCATCGGGGGTGATCGTTTCAGTCCCGATTAGGGACGTGGACACCAAGCGGGGCATGGGGAGCACGTGGCCATTGTAGAGGCGGTTTGGATTAATACCGCGGGGGGTGTTGAATCCGTTTTCGTACACAGACTTTAATAAACGCTCAAAAGCCGTCAGAGAGGCACCCCACATAGGATGTTGGAGATTATTGCATGTCCCATCGTGGGTCCTGTATTTCTGGTGGAAGCACATATCTGAGCAGTTATTCACTCGTCGGTGGGCAGTGCAGCCAGAGAGGTTAGCGATCAGGTTCAGGTACTGAGGGGACACAAGGTCATTATAGTGGTAACCTAAAAGGAAATGCAAAACAGAACTTATTGCCACTAGAAAACAGGTATAGACCATTGGCCATCCAACAGGTCCTCCTCCTCTGGTGTCATCTCTGACCCTCGGCAGTTCAACACACTACTGAGGAGCATCCTCCAGTTGACACTCACTCACCTGGTTCAGTAAACTTCCTCCTTACTCCCTCTCCTTCCTGCTCCTGACGCCCTCCTCAGATGGGCTCTCTGCCTTTCCTATCGCTCTGCCACTTCTGTCTCCCCCTAGCAACTTGTGTAAGCCCGGGTACTTTAGGGAAACAAATCCACAGCAACTCATGTATAAGAGAGAGTTTCATATAAAGGTTAAGTGCACATCAAGAAAACATCCCAACCCAGTGCTGCCCAAGCCCACAAGTCCAACATTAACCCATTAACCCATTATGTCCAATACCAGTCCACAAAGTCCTCTTCCGTCTCACAAAACACACACTATGATGCCGACTGCAGAAGGAAAGCCGAGTCAGTGAATGTGTAAGCATCTCAGCACTGGCAGGGTCTCCACATGGGTGCTCCAGCACCCAGGGCTGCATCGGGGAAGGTCCATGTGGTTCTCCTCAGGGACGTCCGGCAGGAAGTGAGCCTTGCCAGCTAAAGCGGGGAACTGGCCAAGGCAGGTTCACCCTGGCCCGACCATCAGAAAGCAAGAGACCCAAGAACTAGAAAGGCGAGGCTCACCAAGCCATTTATTCCCCCGCCCCCCTTCAATTAACCCCGCATATGTTTATCGGCCAGCTTGGCACAATAAACTAACTCACAACTGAACCAAGCTCCTGGTTTCAACAGCCAAGTCCACTGGGGAAATTCCTTAGTCTCCAGCTCCAGTCCCAGGAACTTCTGGGAATCCATGCTTATATTCTTTTCAACTTCACTTTAAACCAGTGCAAGCAACTTGTAAATAAAATTCAATGTGAGAGCTGTCTCTTTTTCGCTTGGACTGCTCACACAGACATAGACCCTTCAAATAGCCTATCAATTGCCAAGTCCCATCTATTAGGCCGCCAAACCGTACCCTCCTCTGTATTCCTGCCACTGCACTCCAGATTGCACGTCACTGTTCCTTGCCTTGAACTCCAAGCTCAGACTCCGAATGCTATTGCACCACTAACACACTCTTTACTAACAGGCACGTATGCAGTGTTCCAAGTCATTTTTGTTGTTGTTGTTGTTTTTAAAAAGTCTTCCATCTTTGCCCATGACAGAAGAAATTCCAAGCAGCCTGGCCTGGCAAATCACTCCAAATAGATCTTCTTCATTGTTCTCTGCTCTTCTTCACCTCTAAGACATTTGCTGTAGTGAAACAGACCCACTTAATGTTGCCAGATGGTATATACCCTCCCATCATTCTTTGCCTCCTTGCCAATGTCCTTCCCCTAAACGTTCACACAGACCTGTCTTTCTCATTTCTCAAAGCTTCCCCTCCCAGGACTGTCTCTAATGGCTCCACACACAGGCACACATTCCGGAGTTTTGAGTCATGTCTCACAGTTGGTGATCAAGACTAACTGCACACATTTAAAGCAAACAAGTAACAGCTCCCCACCCCCACCCCACCCCCTATCATGGTGTCTGTTTAACAAGCCCCTTCCTTTGACGTAGAGCACCCACACAGGCGCACTCCGAGCTATGTGTAGCAGCTGGAGGGGAACACAATAATTGATGCTGGATGCTTGGTGGACAGCTTGTGCACTACTGGTTGGAGAGGGCTCACAGTCTCAGTACTGGATTGAACGTCATTCCTTTCACGGCAGGGCTTTCAGGGGTTTCCCTGATAAAAAGTAAGCCCCACCAGAGTCAACATGCGATGAAGGTGCAGTAACAGTGGTGATTTGCAATCTGACTTCAAGGTTTGGGAAGTTGTGCAGTGTCCCCTGGTACATATGCCCAATTAGCAAGTGATTATGACTGTTAATAATAAAGTTTTATTTCTCAAAAAAGAAACTAGCCCCTTTTGTATGGGAAAGGTATCTGAACCCCTTATCTAAAAATGCCAAAAAAGAATAAGAAATCAGGAACTGAGAGGCTGGAGAGGAAGCAGTCAGAAATATAATTTGTGGTGGGTCTCAGGACAAAAATGTCTTACCACTGTACATCATGCTCGGGTTCTTCTCACCCTCAGAGCTTTCTGGCCCAATTCGACTAGAAAGACTTTAGACACACGCACTTCCCAAAGAGTCACACACAGGCTGAAGTGTCAGGATTTAGTTTCAAATTAAACTTTCAGGAAATCGCTGAAAAGTCTCCATCTTTAAAATCAAAAGGGCCAAGGAAAAAGGTGGCCAGGAAGGAGAATGCTTCCTCTCAAATTTTCAGTCGGTGGCTCAGTGACAAATCTCAGGGGCTCTTTCAGCACTATAATTGTTTTCCCAAGGCAATTTGCCATAGCTTTAATAACAGACATGCTGAACCTGAGCAGGCCGTAGTACAGTTCTTCCACACTTACTGTGCAAGCCTGGCTTCTGCCTCAGGCCCTCGGAGATGGGACCACACAAACATCAAAGACAAGGCATAACCCAGTATGTGTGAGAACATACAAACAAACCTATCTTTCATGAGACCAGATATAGTAAAACAGATAAAGTGTTATAAACTTACGGAAGGCTGACCATCCACTGTGTGTAAGTAACTTCTGAAAAATGAGTCTTTTATTAGGCATTTTCAAAACCTTGCTGACCATTCCAGACCACTTTACTCACATGAAATATAGTCTGTTTTAAAATAGAAACCATCTCAAATGCAATGGCTAACAAGAATTTAAACCTGAGAAATGTGAGGAAAAAGGCCTCTATGAAAGTACGGGAATGGAGTGGGGGAGGGGCTTGGGAAAAACAAAGAAAAGAAAGTACGGGAATGGCCAGATGATGGCAAGCAGACCTTGTTTTATTGAACTGTCCTTGCTTTCTTGCACTTTGAAGTTTCTGCATTCTTTACACAGGGGAGGGCTATGGCACAACTGCATCCAGAAAGTGTACTGGCATCCGTTTTTCTGACAGCACGTGCTCCAGCCATGCCGCTGTGCAACATTTTGGTAATTCTCATAGTATTTCAAACTTGGTCATAACACTTAATAGAATACAATATCTCGTACACATAACTGGTACATGCACTAGGAATACTGGCGTAACTTGTTTTATTGTGAATGGAATCCACACCATCTTCACAGTATGCTGCATTTAGGAAATAGACAAATGTACAGGGAGGACTGTACTATATTTTTGAACAATGTTACTTTATCTCATTATAGAATTATCATATAGGTGCAGAGATAAGTGCTGAAGGTGTGTGTGTGTGTGAGAGAGAGAGAGAGAGAGAGAGAGAGAGAGAGAGAGAGAGAGACTGACAGAGAGAGAGAGAGAACCCTATCACACTTTTAAAGGGGATCCTTCACTGGCTTGCCCTCCATTTCACCAGCACAGCCTGAGTCATCTCGGACTCCTCTCTATAACACCTACACTCCAGTTTTCTCACCAAAATCTTGTTTGTACCTTCACATTACACCTACAGCAAACCAGCTTTCACCATATAAACCTAATTCAGGCATTTATCATCTGTCCTAAGCGATTTCAGTAGACCTACCCTGTTTCCTGCATCCACCCTTAGGACTTTACACTTGCCACACACCAACCTGCTACTTTAAAATACCAGGCAAATGCTATTATTTCTCTGCAAAAAAACCCAACAAAACACCTCATATAGGGCAAAAGAAAAAACCCTTAGAGTCACTTTCAAGGTTATTTTTAACCACTGGTGCCCTCTGACCTCTTTCTACTCTGCTATGATTCCTCCACCCCACCCTCCTTCGCTCCAATTCAGCCACACTCCTGCTAGCTGCTTCTCAAATACAGGAGGACGAGACCACCTCCGTCTTTGCAGGTCGTTCTGCCTGCAGCACATTTTCCTCATCAGTCTGCCTGGCTCGCTTTTGTCAGGTCTTGGTTCAAAATATTTTCAATGAGATATCTGGTGACCAATTTATATAAATACTAATACTAATCCCAATGATTACCCCATAAATACCTGGCTCTCTTATTTTTGTCCAGATCATTCACTATGTGCTAGTTATGTACACTGATTTATCATGTATTGTCTGTCTCCTTACCTGGAATGTTATATATTTGAGGGCAGAGATTTTTATCTGGTTTGTCCACTGCTGTATCCCTAGCCCCAGAACAAGTGATTGGAACAGAGCATGAGAATGAGCTCAAAACACACATGTGAAATACAGATAAAAAGGAAATGTATAAATACAAAGAATTATCTCAAATTTGGGAGACTATCAAGGATCTTATCTTTTTATTTCAGCTTTCATAACAATTAGACAAGAATAAAAGCATCCAAATCTGAAAGATGTAAAACTCTTATTTTCATAATCCTGTAAATAGAAAATTCCAAAGAATCCACAAGAAAACTTCCAAGGTTAATAAATGAATTCGGGAAAAGATCAACACCTGGAGGTCCGACATGTTTTTATACACTAGCAGTGAACAAAAAGAAAATACAAAGCAGAAACAACTCCATATGTAACACCATCTCAAAGAATAAAATACCTAGGAGTACTATTAACCACTAAGACAAATGATACTGAAACCCACAAAAGATTGCTGAAAGAAACGGAAACAGACCTATATAAATGGAGATATTCTGTGTTTATGGATCATGAGACAATATTGTTATTTAAAGTGACCTACAGATTCCATATTCAAGGCAATCCTTATCACAATTCCAACAGACTTTTTTTTCCTACAGAAGTGGAAGAGTTCATCGTCAAATTCATGTGTAATTGGGAGGGGACCCAAAGAGCAAAACACTTTTGAAAAAGAGGAAAGCAGAAGAAGTCACAGCTCCCCATGTCAAAACTGACCATAACATTCTGGTCTTAGAATTAAAATAGTCACAGAGACCACATTGATAGTGCAGAAATGAACCCAGACTTCTAGGAACAACTGATTTTCCACAAAGATTCTAAGCCCACTCAATGGAGAAAAGAATAATTTTTTCAACAAATAGTACTGGAACAACTGACTCTTTATATGCAAAAGAATGAAGCTGGAACTACTGTATACCTCACACCACATTAAAAAAAAGAAAAAGTAAATCTAGAACCTAGTTATAGAAACTAAAGCCATAAAACAAAAACAGGGATAAAGATTCAGAAACTTATTTGTGAAAATGGATCTTTCCTGTCACGACACCAGAAGCATGAGCAGGCTAAGAAGAAATATATAAACTGGACTTCAATAAAATTAAACACCTCTGGGCATCAAAGGGCTTTATGAACAAGGTGAAGAGCCAATCTACAGACTGGGATAACAATATAAGAGAACTAAAGTTCTGATAAACGCTATAACATAAGTGAACTATGAAAACATTAAAGCCAGACACAAAAGTGCACAGGATTGTCTGATCCGACTTACAGGATAGCTCCAGACTAGGCAAATGCACTGAACGCGAAAATTTAGGAGTTAGGAGTAAAAACAAGGGATGCGGAAAAGTTTAGGGGTTAGGAGTAAAATTTTTCAAAACAGATAGTGATGATGTTTGATTAATATTGTGGCTATATTTAATGCCACTGAAAATGGTGAACATGGCAAGAATTTTGCTATGTCTGTTTTACCACAATGAGATTTTTTTATAACTAACAATGTAGTAATGGCATTTCTCATTTACTGGAAAATAACCATGTGCTACCGAGTCTCACAAATCACCTCATGGATCCACATGACAGTGTCTGAGAAGACTTCACTAGACTGTTCTTCAGATGTACATCATTTGCATAACCATATGATATTTGTGTGCATATGATATGATTATCAAGTTTAGCTTTATCCTACAAGGTCTTCCATGAACTCTCCTTTGTAAAACAGGGCCTAGAGTGTCAGAAGTCTTGTTGTAACGGCCAAGAACGCTCAGTCTACCAGCTGCAGAATCTGAAGAGGATGACCCTCCCCTGAGTAAGTCTTCACGGGACTTTATGCATTTAACTGAACTCATAGTTTTATAATTTATAAATATAGAGGAATACAAGTGTTGGATCTTATCACAAACAGTATAATGTTGCACGATATTTTACTGCCATGATTTAATATGTACTGTACTTCGTTGAAGACAGGAGGAAGTAAAACATGAAATACTAACTTGTTCCATTGAGGTCAACCATTAAGCCATGCTGCACATGTTCCTGAATAAGTTGCAATGTTCTTTCAAATATCTCTCCTGCTCTTGCTTGTTCAACGGTGTACGGATCTCTTGGATACCGGAACAAGGCCAACAAATCATTTGGAGAGCGAGGACGGCTACCAAGGGTTTAAAGAGAAACAAACCAACAAATCACAAATCCGATAAAAAAATATTATTGAAGATGACATTCATTAATATAGAAAAACATAATTATTGCTATTTAATATTTTTGTATATGTGTGATAAACTGTACCTTGCTTATCCAAAGTGGAAGGCAAAAATGAAAGAAATTCTTTTTAAATGAGACACTCAAAAACAAATAATTACTTCAATAGAAAAAAACACAGGTATTTTATTTCAATTAAAATGCAGAAAAACACTTTGCAACTGCTAACATCAGATAAACAGACCAACGGCTTTCAAAACAGTTTTTGTTTTTGCCAAATCATTTAGCCAACTGAACAAGCTGAAATTATTTTTTAAAATGAGTCATAGTTCAACTTCTACTTGGAAAACAGACAACTTTCTGTTATCTTAGTGCCCAAAAAATAGATGACCAATGTGTTTTGGCATTTTTTAAATGAGAAGTTTTTTCCTCAGATGTAATGAAGACATTAAAAAAACCCGTGTATTAGAATTTCAAGCATATTTTAAATCCCAAAGGCCAGGGACAAATTCTCTTAAAATCGCCACAATACCTGTCAAACAGATGTGTACGGGTTGAATTGATGGCTCTGTCAACAGTCGCAATTGCTTCAACAATTGATGTGGCTACAAACGGATCTCCATTTCGACTGACATCAGGAACTAGGAAAACATGAAGTTGCATATGACCGGGGAAAAAAACACTATAGAAGTTACTCATAAAATAGAGTCTAGACACTACATCATTTAGACATATGGCACATATTTTTCTCCAAATGTTATTTTTAATTTTTAAACCAAAGTTTAAAGTATTTTATCACAAATTCTACTGGAAGCTATTTTTAGCTACTTTGGAAATTACAGACTTTTTAAAATTTTTGAAGTCACATGTTACCCTGAAATAGGACAAGGGAAAAGTAATTATAACAAAAAACACTGAACTTCTTCCACCAGAGCATGCCAGCGTCATGAGCAGTATTAGTTTAGGCCAATGTAGGGGCCCGACAGGCAACCAGGCTAAAACTCAGGTGCATTTTCTTTTCTATTCTCAGCTTCTGCTTCCCCCTCCCACTGACTCAGACGCTGCCATTGAACTACAGCCTGTGCAGACCCAGCAGTTGCTGGTCCACAGGTGAGAATCAAGCTTGTTTGGCTTCTTTTACTCACAAACTACCCAAAATAACTGTTTTTTGCTCCAGAGCTAGAGGATTAAGTTAGATTAAAAACAGGTATTCCTTTCTAATACAATGGTTAAAAGAAAAAGATACACAGTCTCAGAAACCCAAAGGGCAGTTGTTATATTTGGTCCCCTGAGTCAGAATGGATTGCATGGCAGTGAGGGGCTTTTCCTCTGTCCCCCTTTTGGTTCACTGTCTTGCATATGAAAGATTCTTAGAGGTATGTCCAGTTTAGTATTTGTAATTTTTTAAATAGCTGGTGTGGGAGTCGCTTACTTTTTGCTCCTTAGTTAACGTTCACAGAAGAAAAAGGGTCCTAGACACACAATACCGGACTGCCTTTTGATTCAGCCAGGATCCAGGCAAGCACAGGCACTCTCGACTTAAGCAAGGAGTGTTCCAAATCAGTTGGAAATAAACTCAGATGAACTGAAATGTCCTTTTCTCTTTGGGACAGAAACCAGTGACCTCAGGGGGCAGTCACCTATCCTCAGACCCCATAAGACCATTCACTGGGATTTGGAATTAAAATGTCTTTACTGCTGCTACACACACACACACACACACACACACACACACACACACACACAGATGGAAACCCCCCCCCACCCCGCCCCCCCAATGGATTTCTTTTTTCAGAGCTAGGTATTTAATTTTTTTTACAAAACAACTATTATCACCTTCAAAGTACTCTCCATTACACTTAATACATTTGTCAAATCTGAGATTCTGTTCTTGGACACATTTTTCAAACTCATCTGTTTGATGGCTGACAGCACCTACCTCGTTTTATTCTTCACCTCTTCTGCATCATCAAATTACTGTCCTTTCAAGTTGCTCATCATTCACAGAAAGTTGCACTGAGGGAGGTCAGGTACTGAGTAGAGGCAAGGGGCAAGAGGCATGCTGTTTTTTGCCAAAAAATGGGGCACTGAGCTGGCTGCATCAGCAGGTGCATTGTGGTGGTGGCAAAACCAGTCCCACATCTGCCAAAAATAAGGCCCTTTTTTTTTTGCGCAATGTCATTCAATTTCTTGATTAACAGTCTGATGTGGTGGAACAAACTCCAAATGCACTATGAGTCCAGTTGAAATTTTCATCCATTCCAGAAGTTGAAGGACATCCAGAACCAGATTTGTCATCAATCAACATTTCACCTTTTTTAAAATGAGAAAACCACTTGTACACTTGAGTTTTCCCCATAGGGCTGTCCTTGTAAGCTGTGTTCAACATTACAACAGTTTCAGTGGCATTTTTCCAGGTAGAAAATAAAATTTCACAGTCACATGTGGTTCTCTAAAATTGGCCGTCACAAAATATAAGGTTCAAGTGAAACTGCTTTTATGAAAAAATTCACTGTGACCAGAGAGAATCTTCCCAAGTGATGCCACTGGGTGCACTAACTCAGAGCGAATTGTTGAAGGTTCTAGAATTACCATTTTCTCTCTCCATCAAACAGCCATCAAATAAGTCTGTTCTTTCTCTCAGGACAATGACTTTCTTCCCCTCTCCCTCTGTGAGCACAGGTAGGCCAGGTCTCCTTTGATATATCTAGCCATCTTGACAGCAATTTCCTATCTAATTACTTCTAGAAATTTTCAGAATAAATTTGGGCATTGAGGGAGACAGTAATGCATCCCACACACTTCATTTATTCAGATCTACATTTCTTAATTCTGTTAATGAGAATCATCTTGCAGGCAATTAACAATGTGGCGCAGCTGGTTACGTAACAGACTGATAACAACAAGGCCAGCAGTTGGAACTCACCAGCTGCTTTGCAGGTAAAGATGTGGTTTTCTACTCCTGTCGAGGGTTACGGTCTGAGAAACCCAGAGTGGATGCTCTGCCATGTCCTATACGGTCACTGTGAGTCAGAGTTTGATGGCAACAAGTCTGTCTTTGCCATGTAGCTAGGCAGGGCCACGTGGCTAGTCTGGGTCAAAGGGCCATGAGCAGAAGTAGTAAAAATGCCTCATTCCCAGTTCAAGACCCTCCATTACTCTCTTCCCTTACTGTACGGCCAACTCCAAATACTCCCATCTCGGTGGTAGGTCCTCCAGATGTAGAGCATGTTGACCATATTACATGGGTAAGAAACAATCCTTAGGTGTGTTAAGCCACTGAGATCTTTAGGGTGTTGTGTATTACTGCAGGACAGCCTAGCTCTATCCTAATACAAACAAAACTTACTGCCATCAAGGTGATGCCAATTCCTAGCAACCCTATAGAAATGATGAGGTAGTTAATTCATTGTGACAGCCTGGCCAATAAACACATGTGGGATTAATTGGAGGGTGGAGAGATAGATGGCTCGGTGAGCCTCGCCTTTCTTGTCTCTTGCTCTCTGATCATCGGACCAGTGTGCGGCTGCTTTGCTTGGTCTGTTCCTCAATTTGCAAGCTACCCTACCTGTGGGACACCTAACCTGTGAAGTGTGCTGCTGTAATTTGAGGTTCCTTTAAGACTTGGGCTTCACCACACAATTGGAATTTACATCTCTTGAGCTGGGGATTGACTGTTGGTGACCTGGCTGACTGTTGGTGACCTGCCTTGCGGTTTGCTGCCTGTGCCAGGATAGCCTGATTCTTTCTACAGAGGACTACCTGGCGGCCCTCAAGACTTGAAGGACTGCCAATGTCTCACAACTCTCTAACACGCTTGAATTATACAGAGCCATTTGTACTGTTTCATAAGTTAACTGTTTATTTCTTGTGTTATATATCTGTCTATCTGTATAACTGCTTTATAATTTAACTGCTTATTTCTAGTGTTATCTATCTTCTATCTATCTATCTAATTATTAACAATCTGGTTTTGTCTCTCTAGAAAACCCTGTCTAACACAAATGAGTAGAACTACCCCTGTGAGTTTCCAGGACTACAGAGGGGCGGGCGGCTTTAAACTGCTGACCTTGCAGTTCATGGTCCAACGCATAACCACTATACCACCAGAGCTCCTGGATCCGTCCTGAATAATCTGCATGAACATGTAAAGGGGTGTGTTCAAATTAAAAACACAGCATTGCTGTGTTTTATTTATATTTAGGTTATGGAATTGTGTGGTTATGGTGTCATCGAGCTGGTTCCAAACACTGTAGTAAAAATTGTAGCCTTGGAAATTATTGTAAAATTTTAAAAAGAGCAATGATAACAAGGGCAGCCAATAGCCATTGAGAGATTACCATACAGTTAATATAGCAAAGAGCCATATGAGCCAAGAACAACTTCATGTACATTTGAGAATAAGGAAACTGTGACTTAGAAAGAGTACATGACTTACCCCCAGGTCACACAGTCCACTGACCTCTACTTTCTAAGCTGCAGTGTCCAATAAATGCTCTAGGTTTATAGGAATGATCTATATTTACATATGTGGTCATAGAGCAATAGATCTATAGCCAGTGCTACAGTTTTAAGTTTTAATTAATTCTGAATTTCAAAAGCCTCATGTGGCACAAGACTACTATATTGGATAGTACCGCAACTCTCCTGCCAAATAATTTACCTTTATTTCCCAGCATGATTTTTATATATTTATTTTGAAAGTTGTGGGATTAGCAATCACAACAGCAAATGTAATAATGCTGAGTGGTATTTATGAAGTGTCTCTGATGTGTCAAGCTTTACAGTTATTACTTGAATCTTCAAAACACCGCTACAATGTAGTTGTGCCTGAGAGAGCCAAGAGTCAGAGGGAAAACAAAACTTCCCCAAGGCCAAAGTCACTAAGTGGTAGAACCATTGAAAGGAAAATGATTGTGAACAAGAAACATTACAAGGCTTTGTTTACTCAATATCCCTGTGGATACTTTTCTTGCACCTCATTACAGAATTACAGACACCCACAGGAAGGGAGCATCAAAAAGTTGGCGTACAAAATCCACTCTCTTCTATTTCCATTTTTTCATGATTGTTTTAAAAAGTCCCCTTGCATATAATATCCAGATGCACATACACACCTAATTATAAAATTGGGATACTATCATATATGTTATATGGTGACCTGCTTATTTTTCTTTAAAATTCTATCATCGACACTTTTAAATTTAGATCTATATTGCCATTTTCATAGGGCCATAGTAATTTCTGCTAAAGATCTTATATCATTTATTTAAGCAATCTTCGATTTTGGACATTTACAGAGTCCATCCAAATCATGTATACATATTAGTATCCTGAAGGTACTGCCCCATTTCTATTTTCCTCATATTTACTTCTCACTTAATAGTGATCAAGCAGTAAGAATTTGATACAGAAAATAATGCCCTTCTGAAAATCAACCTTTAATCTTTAACCAGTTAAATAGCTCCAGCCAGGTCAACAACACGGTGCACGTTAAGGGGCCTAACGTTACTGTTTTCCACCACGACTCTCAACTTCTCCGTGGCACAACACAATTGAAAATGGCTTTCTGAGACAATTCCTTCCCTTAACTTCTGAGCTCTCCTTATTCCGGGTTTTCTTCCTGCTCCTTTCTCATCTGAGTGTCTCTCGTGTCCACTCTGGCTCCCTCCCCTGTGGTAGGGTACACAGAATCTGATTCGGTAAAGCCCTTGACTTCCTCGTGCATCTCATCACCGCTCCGTTTCCTGGGTAGCTCTTTGCTGGCTTCCCCTCGGCCATCGTCACCAGCGGTCTCATCGAGCTACAGCCTCTCCCTCGGTGCTTCATGAATCCCACGGTTTCACTATTCGTAGATGTCGATCCCAGCCCGGGTCTTTTCCTGGAGCTCCAGGCTCATACGCTCAACTGCTGATGCCGCTATATCAAGCTTATTACGTTCAAACAGAACTCTTGATTTTCATCTTCCCAAAACTGATGCCTTGGCCAATCATCTTTGTCTTTCAATAAATAGCATCCAACTAACACAGGCGAAAAAGAAAGTCTCATCTTCAATTCTACCTTCTCACCCTCAAGATCCACCTGTTCGTCTTGTCAGATCCTCTGGGTACTATGTCCACATTCAGTCACTTATCCACACACTCTCTCTTAGACTGTGATCACAACCTTGTGCACTTAACCCCTTGCAGCCTGTAGCCAAAATAACCCTGTATAAATATAACTTGACTTACAGCACTCCCCTACTTGAGACTGTCTAATGACTTACCATTATAATTGAAACTAGCATCAAATTCCATTGCATGGTTAGCAAGGCCCCAAGGATTGGCCAAATTTATCTCCAAGGGCTCCAAATTTATCTCCCACTGCTGTTCTCACAAAGACCTACTGCAATAATCTGGATAAAACACTATAAGTAAAGTATTCTCACCACCGTCACCTTCAGCTTCTTCTTAAGACATTACACTTACTATTCCCGCTAACAGACAGCTTCCCTCTAGTCTCCGAAACGCCTTCAATTTTCTCATAATTTACTAACTCAAGGAAGTATCCCCTGAACATCCTCGGACGATTTCTACAGGCAGGGACAGTTATACATGGAGGGACTCACGTCATGTTAAGCTACTGCATTGTGTGCCTCCCAGTATGTGCTGGAAACCCCACGCCACACACCTGGGCATGAGCTTTCTTCGTTGTGCCACTGAGACACTGGTGTCGGGTGTGCCTTAAGCCAGTCTCTTTTGAGATACAAAAAAAGCAGATTAAACAAGCTGTCAAATAAACAAACTCAGAAGAGGAAAGGAGACCTGCCACGTAAGATCTCAAGGAAACCAAGAAAAGGTGAATAAAAAGCAACCGGAATCAAAGAGACAACAGAGAGAGCACGCCTTCCTCTAGAACCAGTGCTCTGCATTCGGAAGTTCAGCCTCCAAACGAAGAGAAGATGCCTCTCCCTTTGTACAAGCCAGCATTCGTGGTCCTGCCGTGGCAGCAGCGGTAGGAAGGGAGATAGCTGGTGATGCCAGGCATTCCAGCACAGGGAAAAGCATAAACCAAGAAAAAATATCACATGTGGTCTAGAAGGCATGTGCTGAGACCAAAGGGAAAGCGAGTGAACTGGGGGCAGCCAGACAGATGAGGACACACAATGGGACGAGATTGTCAAGACTCTATACAAAGTTACAGAATTTGTATTTTACCAAACTCACTGCCATAGAGTTGATGAGGTGTCACAGCAACCCTACAGGGCAGGGTACAACTGCCCCTGGGAGTCTCCGAGAGATAGCTCTTGATGGGAGAAGAAAGCCCCATCTTTGTCCTACTGAGCTGCTGGTGGTTTTGAACTGCTGGCCTTGCAGTTAGCAGGACATCCTGTAGCCACTATGCCCCCAGGGCTCTGTTACCTTAGCAGTACCAGAAAATATGGAGAAATAAGAGTAGCATACAGTGTAATGATGTGACTCCCTTTTGTAGAAATACAACAAGGACTAAGAGCACAAACACAATGCGGGCGGAGGGTAAGATGGTCACTGTGGCTAGTGACAAGAACAGCGAGGCAGAAGCCGCAGGTTCTAGATTACTGATAAGCCGTCAACAGGAGCCCTGATGGCACACTGGGTTATGCATGGAGATAAGATCAGTAGTTAGAACCCATCGGCTGCTCCTTTGGAGAAACATGAGGCTGTCTGCTCCCATAAAGATTTACACCCTCCGAAACCCAAGGGGGCAGTTCTATTGTGTCCTACATGGTAACTGTGAGTCAAAATCCACTACGAGGCAATTGGTTTGGCCTTAGGGAAAGGCAATGGATGAATATTTCAGGCTTTCCATTGAAACATAATAAGCCACAGAAGTCTGTATGAGTGTCCCAGAATAAAGTAAAAGCATAACTAAGGAACCTGGGATTTAACAGCAATAACTATAGCACTGCTGACAAACGCTGGCTGTAAATGATATATTTAACATTATGGGATTTGAATGACCACTAAACTAAACCATCAAGTGACTGAACATGGGCAGATTACCGAGTGAATCACCCCCCGGGGCCTGTAGAACCTCAGAAGAATGAGGAGGGGGAGAGGGAGCCTGGCCATGCAGCAGATGAAGACGTGACCCCGGCAAGCTTCTCCAACTCGAGGCCTCACCCCGAAATCTGAGACTGCATTCACTTCTAATAATTCTTAAAATCCTCTTTGAATTACTCTGCAAGAAGCTTTGGCCTTTTTTTCAGTTGCCTTTGATACCACTTGGGTTAAAGTTCTCATGAGAGTTCTAAGAGACGCTCTGTGAACATGTGCAATCTTACCATTTACACTTAGGACCATACTAACTGAGGCGTAGCCAATCGTGTTCCGGGCCACACATTCATAACGGCCTGCATCCGCGGGTCCAACATCATTGATGGTCAAGAATCCCTCGGAGTTAATATGGAATTTTCCACTTTCTGTTACCTGCACCCCATCCTGGAGCAAAATGGAATAACACAACAATCAAAATTAGAGTTTGTCTTTTGTGGGGTGGGGTGGGAGTAGGTATATAACTTCTTAGAGTTTCACAGATGGAATTGTCTTAAGGGGCCGTGCTCAGATCTTTTAAAAATTGGAGAGTGAAAATTACTACAATTTAACCAATACCATCCCAGTGGATTACAGTTTTGACTACTTATCCCTTGCTGAGGCCAAAACCTGATGCAAATGAGACAAAGAGGATAAGACTGTTGGGCAGATTTTCCTGGTGACTGCTGGTGGTGACAGGGGGACAGGGGTCAGGGTGGTGACCTCAGCGGGATGAATGCTAGAGTGGGATGAAACAAGGAATGCACAGGGGGCGATGGGGGAAAAGACTCTAACAGTCTATGAAATGCTTCTGAAAGGAAGTGCCCTGGAGGTGAGATGTAAAAGATGATTCAGAGCCAACAAGTGTTACAGGCAGAGGTGTGAGCCGGGGCAAATGCATAGGAATGCTTGCAGAGAACAAGCCAGGCATGGTTTGGGTACAGATAAGAGGCAAGGCAGCCATGCGAGAAAGCTATGGGGTGGGCTGGGGACCAGGCTAAAAGCCCTCACACGCCAGCTTAGAAACTTATACTTTAAAACAAACAAACTAAAAAACTTCACTGTGTGGAGTCAATTCCAACCCTCGGTGACCCTAAAGGTCAGAGCAGAACTCCCCCTATAGGATTCTGAGACCGTTCATCTTTACAGCAGTAGAAAGCCTTACCTGTCTCCCATGATGCAGCTGGTGGTTTCAAACTGCTGACTTTGAAGTTAGCAGCCCAACCTTTAACTCACTCCACCACCAAGACTCATCCATGGTTGGTAGGAACCATTAAGCATCACCCTCTCTGTGCTTTCCAAGCATTCTTTGGATGATATCAAAGTACTTGTTTACATTTTTTAAAAGAATTTTTGTATGAGCCTGTGATAGGTAGGTTTATTGTGCCAAACTGGCCAATGAACGCATGTGGGATGAATTGAAGGGCGGAGAGAGCTCACCTTTCTTGTCTCTTGCTCTTTGATGATCAGACCAGTGAGCAGCTGGTTCTCTGCCTCAACTTGTGAGCAACACTACCTATGGGACACCCCACTTGTGGACTGTGTCACTGTAGCTTGAGGTTCCTTCAAGACCTGCTTCGCCACACTACTTGTGTATACATTGCTTGAGCTGGGGAATGTCGGACCCTGTCATCTGGCTGACTGTTGGTGACCTGCCTTGCTGTTTGCTGCCTGGGGCTGAATTGCCTGAATTGCTCTACAGAGGATTCAGCTGTCTGCTTTGTTGACTTGCACCCGGTGGCCCTTGTGATTTGAAGGACTGCCCGTATATTAGCTGTCTCACGGAAGTAAGTTGCACTGAGCCATTTGTATTGCTTTTTATATTCTTTATGATATATATATATCCTGGTCTTCTTTCTCTAGAGAACCCAGTCTAACACACGGTCTTAAAAGAAATTTGAAACGTAATCTCCTCTCCATTATGTGATCTTGGGTGGAAGAGTTTTTCTTTGCTTTTGTCATTGATACGAAAGGGCATGAAAAGGAGAATCTCTGAGTTAGGTTGTTTGATTTTATTTCCTAAGTCAGGATGCCCCTGGAATTTTTTACATTCCAGGTTCACAAATTGACCATTTTGTTCTGGTACCTAAAATCGGCAGCAGAAACAGGCAGGTACCAGCTCCCCTTACTTCAGAAAACTCTCCAGGAGAGAAGTTGAGTCTGAATGGTTATTATGTGCTCTGAAGCCATCCGGCACCCAAGATTTATTACCTTGTTCCATGTTATGACTGGCTCGGGCTCGCCCTGAGAACTGCACGGAATCTGGACATTGGTGCCAACTTCCACTGTCATATCACTTGGAATGCTGGCAAACACTGGGGTCACTGGAAGGAGAAGGACATGCAACTGATAAATGGGGGAAGAAACCGTGGAAAACATGACCTTTATACCCAAGTAAGAGATGGCTTCAAAAAAAGGGAAGGAAAAGTGCCCTTTCCCTCAATCGGGCCAGATCCAATTACAGTACCAACTACTTCACAATACGAGCTCCAGAGTTTGAAGGACACCGTCAATACTAACTCAGGTACCAATGGCCCACGATCTTTGACAGGCCTGAAGATCTTCCATCTCTTCACCCCACACCACGTGGAGCCCAGGCTGCGGGGCAATCCCTGGGCATGTGCTATGCAGTACACCGTAGGGCATAATGAGCTCTGCAGAGTTTGCGTTAAGGAAAAAAATGCATAGACAAAAATAGTGTCCTCATCTAAAAATTAAGAACCTTAGCTGCTACTGCTGTTATGTGCTTCTGACTCGCAGCAACTCCAAGTCCAGCACAATCAGACACCGCCCAGGTCTGCGCCATCCTCACAGTTGTTCTTAGGTTTGAGCCCGCTGGGGCGGCCCCTATGCCGGTCCATCTCGGGGAGGGCCTTCCTCTTGTCCACTGGCCTTCTCCTTTACCAAGCTTGCTGCCCTTCTCCAGGACTGGTCTCTCCTGACAACATGTCCAAAGTACACGAGGCAAAGAACCTTGGCTAAATACGGTAAGGTTCTGAGTGTTTTGGTTTTTGAAATCAATCTCACTGGATTTTCAGCCATTAAAATCCTATCAAGTCAGAAACTACCATGGCAAACCTAATAGAAACCAAAGCAAATAACTATGCTCCAGTTTCTATCAAATCTGTTGACAGGAGACAAGAGGGAGCCCTCGCTTAAGGTCCCCAAAGGTTACATACTTTAACAAAGAGTCACGGCGAAATTCACACACTCTTCATCTCATTGCTCTCTTGTCGCTCCCTCTACACACAGGGTCTGAGTTTCTGTTCTACAGGCTCTGGACTGGAAGACAACACTGGGCGCAAATAGCATTCCCAGGAGTCATTTCAGTGTCAGCAATCTTACGTGGGAGATATTACCTAAGCTTTCTCAGCCTGAGTCTATCAAACTATGGATGCAGCTGAAAATACAAACCCACTGCCACCGAGGTCATTTTGACTCATGGCGACCCTACAGGACAGGGCAGAAGGGCCGCTGTGGGTTTCCATGACTGGAACCCTTTAGAGGAGTAGAAAGCCTCACCTTTCTCCCCCAAGAGCAGCTGGCGGTTTCAAACTGCCGACAGTACAGTTGGCAGCCCGATGCTAAAGGGAGAGTCAGTGCCAGCAGAGCTGGACCAGTCCAATGGCATGTCCACAAGGACAGAAGAAAAGCAGGCATCAAAGCATCAGAAGCAAACCAAAACACAGCTAGGCCCCGGTGAGCTGACTTTATTCAATCTTTTGCCTCAGGAAAGGTATTTGTAGGACAACAATATTAATTAGTCAATCTAAGAAGTTTTATTCTATTTGCTTTATTTTATTTGGATTTGTTTTATTTTAACACGTCAGTCCTATCAGAGGTTAGTCTAAGGACTCTTAAAAAAAAGAGCATACATGTGATCGCTTGCTATCATATAAAGGTTCTAAAGACACTCTGACATACTTTCGGCATAGATGTCTAAGTGACGGTGAAAAGCCATCCATGAGGGAGATAGAAACACTTCTAATTAACAGTAAAATTAATGCCTGCTGCAGAGCTCCAGAATAAATCAATTCACTACTGTTTAAAGCAGCGGTTCTCAACCTGTGGGTCGCGACTCCTTTGGGGGTGCATCAACCAACCCTTTCACTAGGGTGGCCTGATTCGTAACAGTAGCAATATTACACTTATGAAGTAGCAACGAAAATCATATTATGGTTGGAGGGTCACCACAACATGAGGAACTGTATGAAAGGGTCGCGGCATTTGGAAGGGTGAGGAATGATCCAACGACCCAAACACGTACCTCTTGGCTGCACTGTCAAATGTGCCACCACCCTCTGGGAACCAATGATGTTGACAGCTTGGCATTCATACTGGCCCTGATCATGAAGGGCAACTCCCGAGATCCGCAGTGTGCCCGACGAAAGCACCAGGTGTCTTCTGTCGACAGAGAGCTGACTCCCTGAAACGCATGGCAGGCGGTTTAGTCATTACTTCTCTACTGTAGACAATTGGCTGTTGATCTTCATTAAAGGTGGGGAGGTAAAAAACTCAGGCACTAAGAAGAAATTCATCTTAGAAAATGCCGAGTATCACCACAGCAAAGAGTAACTTCCCCTAGCCCTGGAGCAAGCAATCACTCATTCAACAAGCATCCAGGAACTGCTCCCAGCCATGCACCAAATACATGAGCTGTGTGCAACCAACAGAAGGATAAATAAAACAGTGTATGGCTCACAGGTACGTCACAGGAAGGGGCGGAGACTCAGATCGCTATGAGAAGGGAGTGCAGGACAAGTGCTACTTCGTAATAGAGCAGGCTGCTATGGAGGCTCGGAAGGTGTGCCTTTCTCCCAGATTGCGAGCTATGGTCAGGTTTCTGAGAGAAAGTGATTGCTACCTTGGACTAACAATACAAAGAGAAGAACCAGGAAAAGGACATGGAGTTATTTTTAAAATACATATCATTACTACCTTTGAGGGTAAACGTCTTCTGTCCTCACATATTAACTGCTTGAGTATAGGGAGTCCGGGAACAAGGTGTGCTGCCCATGTCTCCTCCCAAGGGCTGCTCTCACGGATCCTGGGAGCTGGTCCCCACACACGAACTAAAAGACCCAGCCAGCCTCCCCAGGCGCTGGTTCTCCAGATCAGACAACATCCAGCCTAGGGCAGGACCCCTAATGCTCAAGCTGGATCCTTCTCAACCGTAAACCCACCTTCTCCACCCAGGCTCCTGGAATCCCTGAGAGAAAGGGTCTGTGCCTCTATCCAACACATGACCCAGGGTTTACCATGCGGAGAAAACTACCCTACAACCCCACAGAAAGAGTTTAAGTAATCAACAGTCATGTATTCCACATTGGGTTTCAGAAAATTCTATTGTACATGTGATTAACTTTCATTCAAAACACTATGAAGTAAACATTTAAAGGCATAAAAACTATTTTTGAGGAAGACAAACTAAGAAAGCAAAAGGGGTAGTCCATATCCTTTTCATAACAACCTATCATTTTAGAGCATTTCCTACAATGATAGATGGGAGTGTTATTAACTCATAAAAGAAACCATGGAAATTACGAAGACATTTAGGCACCTCTAATCTCTTCCCCCACGCCTGGATCATGTCAAATTAGAGTTTGGCCCTGGTCCAGAAAGTTGTGTTTGCTAGGCCGAGGTCAAGCCAAGGATTTTCCCCTCGTACTTCATGTCCCAGAGGAGTGAAGGGGGTAGAAGAGAGCAGAGAAACGCAGCAGTAGAGATCTCACCTCCTTTGGTCCAGGCAATCACTGGTTGGGGATAACCCTTTGCTTCACACTGGAAATCGACGGTCTGGCCCTCAATCACCACTCTGTCTTCCGGTGTCACCGTGAACTGAGGAAGGGCTTCCGAAAACAAAAATATCCAAAACATCAAATGTGAATAAACAGCATCGGGCGACAAGGCTACCCATCACAGCTAACATTCGCCACTTCTCTTCGCCCTAGGGAAGCCCACGCGCTCGTCAGTAACATGAGAACGTTCACAGTTATTCCTTCTGAATACCAAGGGCACAATAAGAGATGAAAAAGGACTCTAGGAGCAAAACCAGAGTGAAACAAAGAATCATGGGTGTTTTCTTGGCAATGCACTGAAACAGTGTACAAAGTGATTATTCATGTAACAACACTGCTAGATCTGATGTATACTGATCACAGAGAATGCCACATTGGAGCTTGTGGTAACATGGATGACTCAGAAATGTACCTCATTCTTCAGCTCAAGAGGTATTTGCAAATGAGAAACAAAATGCCATCCACTACATCTGTGTTTATTGGCAGACGTTAGACTGTTTATTGTGTGATAAAAAGAAAGCTATACAACAGTGTAGTGTTACATAATCTGGTGTCAGTTTGGGATTTGAGAGGATTAAGGGTGAAGGGATGGAGTCTAGTCTGTCAATTGGGTCATAACCAATTAAGCCTCCATGTGGGCATAGCCCTCTCCTGAGAATTCTGGGAACTCTGGCATTTTTCCTCCTTGGAGGCAGGAGACACACTCTCTCTATTCACTCCCTGGGAGACATTACGGCTGACAAGACACATAGAACTATGCTAGCGCCCTGAGTTGGAGAAGCCACATGGACCAACCCTGATGCAACCAGACCTCTGAAGCCAGAGACGTGGAGAACCCTGCCAGCGCTGAGATGCTTATAACACCACTAGATCCAAAGACTTTCTACCCACTGGCCAGTGATCGTCCTGCATTTGGCTTCATTGCATGTGTTTCATGAGTCTGAAGAGGACTTTACAGATTGGTATCGGACATATGGGCTAATATCGGACGTATGGGCTTGGACTGGACTGGGCTGGGCTGTTTCCTCAATAATCAACTGCTCTTGTATATAAACCCCTTTCTTCCATACATATGAGTATCTATGGATTTGTTTCTCTAGTCTACCCTGGCTAACACAGACTGTCAGCCTAACAGGATTCCATTTTGATGAAAACAGCAACCACAACAACAAAAAAGGAAAATATCCTCAGACCTGAGTGCCTACCTGTTTGTGCACTGGAAGAAATGAAAGCTGGATTATTAACAAGCTGAGACCAAAGTGACTATCCATAAAGACATGAAACAGTGGTTTTTAGTATTGTTCAATATTTTCAAGCAAATGCCTCATTTTCCAAATTACTTACAAACTGAAAACTCAATTTACAATCAACCCAGCAAGTTAAATTACATAGCCAAGACCTTTAAAAATTAGGGGAGAAAACTGCTCCCAGCATTCTACGTCCAGAAATGTGTCCCAGAAAAGCATTTAAAGTTATTATAAGGCATATTAATTCAAAATATATGTGAATACGCAAAGGTGCATAGAAACATTCATTTATTCTATAAATACTTATGTATGCCAGGTGCTCTAGTTGTTGGCAATATCACAATTAGAGAATACAAAGTCTCTGTACTAATAATGCAATATCTGTCAAGGAAAAAAACAAACACATCATTAAGTGGTATCTAGTTAGTTAAATGATGGTAGGGCTATTGTTACCAATAAAAGCTGGGAGCGAGAACATGGAGGGCCAAGATGCAGGTGGGAACTGGGATAGAAGTAGTTTATAAATAGTTACACCTAAGGCAAGAGGCCAAGGCAGTGAAAGAGTCAAATGCCTGTACTTGTCTCGACACTCACCTTGTACAATGATAAAAGCTGTGGCGTGGATGCTGTCAATACCGTTGGATGCAAAACAAGTGTATTCCCCACTGTCCTCCTGAATGACGTTCTGAATGTAAAGGCCACCAGAAGGCGTGGTATGGACCCGAGGATCGCTGGGTAAGGGTGTTCGGTCACCTTTTGTCCAGGTGATACGTGGCTGAGGGTGGCCTGTGGCACTGCATTCCAACGTGACACTTTCCCCAACCAGCACTTCTGTGTTCTGTGGCTGGATCACAAACGTGGGTCGAGCTATCACAATGAAAACAAACAAACAAGCCCAAGTTAACTTCTTCCAATTGAACAACAGCATTTTCTTTGGAATTTTCCATTTTATTTTAAGGCTTCTCATTCTGTATCATTGACCTTCAAAATTTACAAGGCAAACAAACAAACTATTTATGCACCTTTCTTTCCTTTGTACAGACAATAGAAATGGTTCCCGGCTTTGTGTCAAGCAAAATGCAGGTGGCCCAAGAGGAATAAGCTATTCAGATGAATGGGTAAAAGCCATTCATATACATATTGACTGGACTGTATTGAAAAGTCTAACACTGCCCATTCTAAATGCATTATAGACATCTTGCTAACCTTTCTACTAAATTGAAATATTGTTTTTAAAGATCAAAGCATTAGAGCATGCGAAAATGTTCAATTTCACTCAAAAAATATAAATTAACACAATGCTGAGATAGCAGTTTTCAACTCTGAAGTGAGGAAAAAACCAGCATCCACTAATGTGTCTGATGGGCACTTGGTGTGGTCAGCATTAGGGGAACTATTGACTCAGCCCACCCTGAGGCTGTGTCAAAATTTAAAATTAATATGACAGAAGTCCATCAATTCCACTATTAGAAACGTATCTCATGGATGAATATAAAATGAAATCCAGGTATGCACAAGTGGTTTTTCCCCCTTGCTTGCTTTTTTTTTTTTTGGGGGGGGGGGGTTGTCATATTATTTCTTTAGGTCAACAACCCTTATCCACAATTCAAAAATATCCAAAAATATCCAAAGCACAAATATTTTTCCAATACTCACTTGACATGATCTGGCATGAGATTACTTAACCTTTATGTACTCCACTTATTGAGAATGTCCACAGTTTGTTATTGAGGATTATTATATTGCATTGTGTCTAACACTCTGCTAACAATGTTGAAACATGGGTCATGCACTATTTCACTTTTCTAAGAACACATCTCAAAACCCTTCATTTCAAATGCCACCTGGCCCGCAGGATTCTGGATGAAGGACTGTGGGCTTGTGGACAGGAAATTATTTTTGAAGGGGGGAGGGGAAGAAATGAAGTGTAGTTCAAAAGGATAATAACTTATTTAAATATTGGCACTCATGGACCCTAACATATATGCCAAATATCCTTTACTCAAATATACACTTATATAATAGAATCCTATGCATCTATAAAATAGAAAACCATTGTCATGCAAGTAAGAATGAATAAAAGAAAAAATATTCTAAAATTGTGGTAAAGATTGTACAACCCTTCTTGATAGGATTGAACTGTTGAATGTTATGTGGTTGAAGTGCTAAGAAAACGGTTTTAAAAAACATTGTTCATGTATTAAAATGAAAGACCAGAAAGTTCTCTAAAATAATAACATCAAACCAACTCCGCTGCCAGCAAATTGAGCTGCTCTCGGTCACGGAGACCCAAGGGGCTGAAGCACAACTGCCCCAGAGGGCTTCCGCGGCTTCAGGCCTCCCGCGAGTAAGCGGACAGTCCCCTTCTCCTCCCAGGGTGCGGCTGGTGGCCTTGCAGCCACCGAGCTATTGGTTAACAGCTGAGTGTCCTAAGACTGTGGGACCAGACTCCTTCCAAGATATGCCAAGTTTTTTAAAATTCACCTGTCTTGCATGTGCTTTCAACGTTCATAAAAGAATCAAGAACCTATTTCTAATAATTTTGTGAGACAGAGATGGGGATATCCATTGAATGGATGAGTCAAGAGGGAGACTTTTAACTGTTTTTATATATAATTTTTAAGTCACATTAATCAAATACCCAATTAGAATATGTAATAAAGTAAATAAATGATAATCCATATTAACATTCCAGCAATATGGTGAACTAGAGGCTGTGAAGCTAGAGAGAAGTAGAGTACCAAAGTCAAACTTACCACAAAGGCATTTGCAAAGTGTGGTCAATTAAAGGTTGGAATGAACTGCCTTAAGGGATATGAGACAGGAGACAAAGATCAAGCTCCGCCCAAGATGCAGCATCAAAGAGAAAAGCCTAAATAAAGCTGGGTGCCCAGTATGCTCATAACATCCATAGGCGTTCCAGAAATGATGTAAAATCTTCCTGCCCCTCCCTCAGGGCCTTCTCTGGCCGGAAGCGGACTATGCATGCCCTTTAAGGGGGCTCATCTAAAAGCTGGTCCTCACTTGGCTGTGCTGCTTTAGTCTACTTCAGGCGGAAGAAAGGGGGTCCCAATGGAGAGCTAAATGCAGAGAAAAAAGCCAAACAGGTATGTGTATGGCTATATCTAGACACAAAATAAGAGTATAGAATAATAACGATGTTTTATATGTTTAGAACAACAATCACCTCTACTGAACTAGAAGGGGTGATTGTGTGGGAGGGGAAAGGTAAAAATCGTAATTTCAGACTTTGGGAATTTAAGAATGCATATGAATATTTATAGGATAACTACTAAAAGAACAGAACTTCCAAACAGTATGCAAAATGGAAAATAATTCCAAAATAAGGCAACAAATGTAAAAAACATTGGGCATAGAGCCATAAATATGATGTAAATTAATAAACCTAAATATATATGTATAATTATAATACATATAAATAGACTCACTTAAAGAATATGATTGCCAATCAGAAGCTTTTCAAACTTTAGCTCTACATTGTTAAAAACAAAACACATAGACTATATGTGTGTGTGTAGATAGATAGATAGAGAAATGGTAGGGAAAGCATACCAAATATACTTCATCTATATTAAAGCAAATTAACTTTAAGGCACAAAGGATGAATAAAAGTAGAAGCCTTCGTGATCAAAGTCTAATCCATATGGAGATAAAAATTAGAAACTTTTATTTCCCTAATAACAGAGCTTCAAAAAGTATAGTCTTTAACCTCTTATGATCTATTGATATACAAGTCAATCTATTACTGTTACTGTATATTATCACCATAGTAATAACTATGTGCAAATGCTCTATAAAAGGCCGGAGAATAAATATTTTAGGCTTTGGGGTCATACAGTCTTTGTTGCCATTACTCTCCACTCTGTCACGATAGCACAAACACAGCCAGAGACAATCCATAAACAGTTCAGTGTGTCCGCGTTCCAATAAGCACTGAAATGTGAACCTCATATAACTTTCATACGTCACAAAACTTGACACGTCTTTTTAGTTTTCAACTATCAGAAATGTAAACACAGATCGGCAGCGGGTAGTGAGTGGTCCAGGTTCCGTCCCTGAGTGTATGGTCTGCTGAATGCTGAGCTTGGCTGTTGAGTTCCTAAATGGCGGATTTCCTCTCTGCGCCTTTTCTGGACACCAGCCTGCAGGCGATGCTTGATGTGTATGGTAAGCACCTATGCTAAATGCTTAGAGCAGTACATTTTATAGATATATTTACTATTAACATATTGAGGTCTATATTATATTTTACATGTATTACATAGAATAAGCAAACAAACAAAAAACCTGACTACAATCGAGCTGATTCCAACGCACGGCGATCCGAGAGGACAGAAGAGAACAGAGCTGCCCCAGAGGATTCCCAAGGGTGCACAGCTTTGCAGAAGCACACCGCCACATCATTCTTCTGTGGAACCGCTGGTAGATTCAAACCACTGTTCTTCCAGCTAAGCTGACTACTGCTTTAACCACCGAATCACCAGGGATCCTATTATATCATGTAACGCCCACTGCTATTGAGTTGATTCTGATTCACACGGACCCTGGAAGATAGGAGCCCTAGTCCTTCAGGTTTCCCCGACAGCCAGGTTTCCAAAACAGAGTGTGTGAATTGCCCGACGTAACCAGAACGTCTCAGAGCTGTATGCTACAGTGTCTACTAAATGAGGCTATTGTTTTGAAGAGAAGCCCTCCTGGTACAATCGGTTACACGTTGAGCTTCTAACTACAAAGCCAGCAGTTTGAAATCACCAGCTACAACACAGGAGAAAGATGAGGCTTTCTACTCCCGTAAAGAGTTAGTCTCGGAAACCCACAAGGACAGCACTACCCTGGCCTATTCGGTCACTGTGAACCGGAATCAACTCCATGGTCGTGAGTTGTTCCTAAGACATTTCAGATCAAAGGGTTTAAATATTCCTGGCCAGGGACCAATGAACCTACTAACAACAACTTCCTGAAAATATTTCATATTACTCTCCATGGTTCATGACATCAACTGTCCTGAGTGTATGGATCCCTAGATCAGGGATGAACATGGAACAGCGGGCCTCACACAACAACTGTAAAGACAGGCCCTGGTAGTGTTCCATTCTGCTGTCCGTAGCGTCACTAGGGGGTCAGAATCAACTTGACGGCACCTAGCAACAATAGCAATCGAACAAAGCAAGTCTACAGAAAACCCACGGCAACGTGCTTCCACACCATGTCCCCCAACGCTGCCAGGGAAGTAGGACCTTCCTTCCCTCTGAGACGTCCACAGCTAAAATTGTTTTGCTGAGTGGGAATGAAATGGGAGAGGAAGGGAAGGGGATTCTGCGAGGAGCTAGTTCCATGGAGTCTACATACCTGGAGCTCCAACATATCGGAGGGTCACCTCTTGTGTTTTCACTTCTCCAGCTACATTTTTTGCCATGCACTGGTAAATTCCCTGGTCAGTCTCCTGAGTGTTTTGAATCATCAACGTGCCGTCGTCCAACAGGTTCAAACGGGAATCTGCTTTCATGCTCAGCTCATTGCTGCAAAAGCAGAAAGAGTTGGAAGGACAAGCAAAGACACAAGCCTAGCGAGCAGTGTTGTTGGCCATAAGAGCAGGAGGCCCATGCTGCAGAGTGCACCCTGGGACATCAGGGGGAGAGTACGCCGCAACACCTTGTCTTTTCAGGACGTTTGTTTCTAAATAGCCGGTCTTCATAGATAGTTCTGGCAAAGTGTTTATGTCTCTGGTTCATCCATCTATTCACTTTTATTATTTACAAGTTTAATTTAGAGCTATAGGTTTCATAGTCATAATTACAAAGGGGAACAAAGGGTAGAAAATCAAAAGTAATATTTGCCTTTGTTTGAGAAAGAGAAAGAACTAAAGACATCTGTATATTACTAAAAGCAATATAGAATGCATTTATACACACATATGTAGGTGTAAACTTCTGACCTCTTCCAACACTACACAGTAAAGCAGTGGTTTTACTCTGTTACAGAAAGCTCATCTGCCGAGATGTGCAATTCCAAGACGCTAATCTCTTTATCCCCCACATAACTTTGGTGAATCCTCTGAACAATCATGACTTCTTGTTGGATTCCTGCCACGTCACTCAGACACGAACAATTAATCTGCCTAGTCCCCCAGCCAGAAAAGGGATCCTGTGACTCAGCCCATGCCCTGACATCTTCACAGCGCCCCTTCTGTTTCTACATGCAACCTCCTACCCTCACCCATGTGAAAGGACTCTGGTTCCCTTTGTTCCAAAACAAATGAGAAGGAGAGAACTCAAGTTGACGACTGGGCGAGATCACAATTTATGGTGAATGCCTCGAGAGCCTAAGAAAAGCCAGGGCACGGAGCTCTCATGAGAACTTGGGAGCCCTGGTGGAGCAGTGACTTACGCATTGGGCCACTGAGCACAAAGCATAGACTCGATGGCCAAGAGTCTGATTCGGGTGTAATGGGACCACACCACTCTAAAACCTACCATCGAGCTGATTCCACGGAGTGTGTTCCTGTAGGGCAGAGTAGATCCGGTCATGGGGTTTCTGCGGCTATCAGTGTTAATGAACGCAAACTGCCACGTGTGTGATTGGCACTGCAAAGCCAGGGCTCCCGTATGAGAACATAGATACAGCTAAGTAGAATTCCGTTTTCACTAGATCATCAAGGGAGAAGGTCTTGTTCTGTAATCTTTCACCCAAATCACAATAAAAAGCTAAAAAAGAAATTGGTTGTTTGGAATCAATAATGTGTGCACTCATATTTCAATGGAGCTAAGTGGGAGAAAAAAGACAGACAAACCCACTTTGGCAATAAAAATTCACTTCCCTTAGGTCATGTAATGTAATTAATCACCTTCAATGGTGAGAATGGTTCTACCTTATTTTCCACGGAATCAGTAGAGCCAAGAAATTGTGATTGATTACAACTACTGAAGGGGGCAGATTATTTGTAAAACGCAATTCCTGTGGGCTCTCTTCAGAGACTTCGACGTGCTCCTGAATGAACAGTGAATGCACTCATGTGTGGACCGCCGGGTGGCCCTCAGCATTTTTCTGTCTGGCACAGCTTTAGTCTGTAATCCACAAAAACTTTTTTTTTTTTTAATTCACACAAACCTTTTTCGCTGGAAGCAACTACCATCTCAGGCCCTATATCAACTGCATTGGTGTTGCTGTTGTTCTTAGATGCTCCTGAGTCTGCTTCGACCCAGAGCGGCCATGGACAACAGAAGGAAGCGAAGCACAGCACGGTCCTGCGCCACCGTCATTATTCCCATACTTGAGTCCAAGGTTGCGGCACAGTGTCAATCCATTTCAACAAGGGTCTCCCTCTTTTTTACTGCCCCTCCACTTTACCAAGCATGATCTCCTCATCCAGGGACAGCTCTCTCCTGATGACATATCCCAAGGAGGTAAACCTTGCCATGCTTGCCTCTGAGGACCACTCTGGCCATCCTGCTTCCAAGACAGATCAATTCGTCCCTTTGGCAGTCCACGGTACTGTCAACCTTCTAAAGCAGCACCACAATCCAAATACATCAATTCCTTATTCAATGTCCACCTTTCATATGCATGTGAGGCAATTAAAAACAGCATGGTGTGGGTCAGGTGCACCGTTTTAAGTTTGCCAGACTAGCGTGGTCTGTGTGCTGCTGTGATGCTAGAAGTTACGCCAAAGCACTTCATACACCAGCAAGGTCCCCGGTGGTGGAGACGGTTCAGTGGAGGTTTCTAAGGCAGACTAGAAAGAAAGGCCTGGCAATTTACCTCCCAAACTGCCAAAGTACTGCTGCAACCATTTTAAAATTATCTTCAGCAAAACTGCATTTGTCTGTGATACAGTAATGTCTGCATTCTGTTAGATAAGCTTTCTTTGGAGTGGGCACCAATAAGGATGCCGTCCAGTTGACGACACAGGTTTACGCAACACTTCCCGGTTATACACACTATCTCAGTGCGGTGGTGCTGGAGTAGTCTGGATTTCACATCTCATCCACTTCAGCACACTCAGATATCACAAGGTGTGGGGCAATGCCTTCTATTTTCCCCATACGACAAGTCAATCCAGTCCCAATGTTGTTTAATAGTATGCCATCCAAATCTAGGGCCAGATGAACATTTCTGTCATCTTTATGGGTACGAGCACATCTTCAGATCCTGTATCTGACAGCTCTCGCTCTCCTCGCCTTCATCGTTTCTATAAACACCGTTGGACCCATAACCCAGACAAATCTGCCTCTGAGAGTCTGGCTACTGTCAGCAAAGGACTGATGACTCAACCCGTGTCTGAAAAGTCTGGCAGTAGAACCTGGATCTTCCGAGATGTCTCCACTGTTCTGTTGTGACCAAACATGACCCATGAACTCAAAGTAAAAACACCAAAAACGGAGGTTAAGTGAAAAGATTTGACTCCTGTACATGAGCCTCCTGGTATCTTTGTGCACATAGATTTGAGAATTAACGATAGTCATTTCTTGTCACACAATTCCTTTTTTTGATTAGCTTCACAATTTAAACATAAAGTGCTCCTTCTTTTAACAACAGAAATCCTTTTGAGAACCCCGCCTGAGATAGGCTAAGGTTCCCCATGGCACACCTTTGCCCATGTGTCTACTTCCCCTAGGGTCATGCCCTCCTGGCCAATTCCTTTGCACATTCTCCAATTTCCCATTTTCATCTCTCATCTCATCTCTTCATCTAACCTCAGCCGCCGCCACCGCCCTTGCCACGACTTAACTGGGGACAGGAGAGAGAGACAGGATTCTGCATGTGGCGCACACTTCCGTCACTGACAATGCCGTCAGTTTATAGGAATCTCCTCTGTTGTCTGAGGGCTCCGGGGGGTGGGGGTGGGGGGGTAGGATGTCTTATCTGTGAACTCCCAGCATTTATCAAAATATCTTTCTCTTCAGAGACCCCTTATAAATGCTTTGACCATTAAGTGGAACCTTTGCTACAAGGGAGAAATTAGACACCCACAGAAACCCGGTAAGTAACTACTGAATTAGCAGCATCTGTCTACAGCTGCCTCCCTGAAAATGTACAGTCCTCCTCAGAGGTTCACTAGCACGATCTTCATGGGGTCAAGAGTGATCATAGTTCAATACCAGCTTCTGCCAATGGCGAAGTCCATGCAGCCTCTGGGCAGCGCAAGCCAGGCACAACCAGAAGGCAAGTGGATGGCTCCAAGAAGCATGTACATCAACATCCCCCTCCAGCTCCTAACCCCAGGTGGTGGGAAGTAACAGTAACGAAACCACACCCATAGCCACCCTCTAGAACAAAGAGCAGCCCCCATGGGGTTTCCAAGGTCATTATCTTTTTTTTTAATCGTTTTATTAGGAGTTCATATAACTCTTGTCACAATCCATCAATTGTGTAAAGCACATTTGTACATTCATTGCCCTCATCATTCTCAAAAATTCGCTCTCCACCCAAGCATCAGCTCCTCATTTTTCCCCTCCCTCCCTGCTCCCCCCTCCCTCATGAACCCTTGATAATTTATAAATTATTATTTTGTCATATCTTGCACTGTCCGACATCTCCCTTGACCCACTTTTCTGTTGACCATCCCCCAAGGAGGAGGTTATATGTTGATCCTTGTAATCGGTTCCCCCTTTCTACCCCACCCTCCCAGTATCACCACTCACACCACTGGTCCCCTGTGTTTCCAGTTCCTATCTGTAACACTGTAAATCCTCTGGTCTAGCCAGACTTGCATGGTAGAATTGGGATCATGATAGTGGGTGGGGAGGAAGCATTTAGGAACTAGAGGAAAGTTATATGTTTCATCATTGCTACATCGCACCCTGACTGACTCGTCTCCTCCCCAACCAAGGTCATTATCTTAATGGGAACACACCATCAGAGCTCTTTTTCCCATGAAGTGGCTAGGGGGTTCAAACCATCAGCCAAGAGCTTAACCACTGTGCAACTGTCACCAGATCTCCGCAGAAATTACATGCTACACTGTCATTCAAACCCCAGCTTCCTAGTCAGTGCAACACCCCTCATGAAAGGAAAGCTGCCAACTCAATCCACATCCCTTCACCTAAGCCAACGTACTTGGCAGATGTCTTTAGGGCCGCCAGACCTATCTGTTTCTAGTTTCTACTTAGATAAGGAAAAAAGCACATATCTGTCAGTGTGTGCAACTGTGGGGGCTGATGTGTGGCTCTGAGGCTACAACCTAAGCCATTGGTGTTTCAAACAGCAGCAGGGTTACACAAGGTGATTAGGTCTCAGCAAATCGTCGAGAATAAGACAGAGCAGAAAGAAGGCCTGGTGATCTAGTTCCAAACTTTAGCTGATGAAATCCTTATGGCTCACAACAGAATGGTATCTGATCTCATGCTGGCAGATGATCCCACTGTGGTGCAAGTCACTACACAAGGGCCACAAGAGCTCATCACAGCACTGCCTGCAAAGGTAGAGGAGTACAGGGCAATGCTTCATCTTAAAGCATATGGGGTTGCCGTGCGTCAGAGCCTGCTTGACAGAAATGAACAATAATAGCAAATTCAGCATAAGAAACAAAATGTATTTTTCCCCTTTATAAAACGTCCTACACGGAAGAGGAAGAAAAGAATCAAAGTATGTGATTGGGAAGCTGGGGAGGAGGGGGAGGGAGGAAACCATGAAACCGATTTTCTGAGAAATCAAGCGCCTGAATATTAGGTTGAGAAACACCATGTACAAATGACTGTCCTCCAATGGCATCACGTTGATGCTACAAGCGATGTCACTGGCTATTTTTGGAATACCAGCAGGGTCCCCGGTGTGGTGCATTTCCTTGGCTCCTCCTGAACAAGACCGACTCGGCAGAAGAACCCATGCAAGCTCCAACTTACTTGTTCCGCAGCCAGATGATTTCCGGTTTGGGATTGCCTTCGGCTCTGCAAGTGAAGTAGACAGTGTTCCCCGAGGTCACGTCTGCGTCCTGGGGCTCGGACGTAATCCTGGGCCTCTCTGTGCCGCACAACGAAATGGAAACCAGATTAGTCTTAAACTGTCCCGTGAGCAACACAAAGTCCTTGTGTGCAAAGTCACCAATGTCCACAAGCCCATCGACGGTGACTGTTTTACTGCCCTCACACCAGCGAGAGATGGGCTTCTGTCCCGAGATCGCCTCGGAGCATGAATCTTTACGTAGCATTGCTCCATACCTCAGAGGGGTACCAGAACTCTTAAGGGGTGAGGCAACGCTGAAACCTTTTCAGGTAAGCACCAAACACTGACTGCCATGGTCTACTTGAGAAATCTTGGTGGCACATTGGGTTAAGCCAAGGGCAGTTAACCACAAAGTCAGTGATTCATCCCAGCAGCAGCTCCAGGGAAGGAAGATGGCATCGTCTGTGCCAAGGAAGATTTAGTCTCGCAAACCCTCTGTCCTACAGGGTCTATGAGTTGGCATCAACTCAGTGGTAGTGGTATTTGGCTTGGTGTCCCTGGTTATGCATTGAGCCGTTAAAAGCAAGGTTGGCAGTTCGAACACATCCAGCTGCTTTGCTTAAAAAACTCTATCAAAGGGAATCACTGTAAGTTGAAAATCACTTCAATAGCACGTAACATAAGGTGACAAGACGTCCCGCTTTTGGTGGGACAGTCCAGATTTTTGGAAAGAATGCACGACAAGCTAGGGAATGGTCTATTTGGTCCATATAGACCAATTAATTTTTCCTTTATCTTTTTTTTTCTAATCATTTTATTAGGGGCTCATACAACTCTTATCACAATCCATACAGACATCAACTGTGTAAAGCACATTTGTACATTCATTGCCCTCATCATTCTCAAAACATTTCCCCTCCACTTAAGCCCCCGGCATCAGCTCCTCATTTTTCCCCTCCCTCCCGCTCCCCCCTCACTCATGAGCCCTTGATAATTTATAAATTATTGTTTTGTCATATCTTGCCCTGTCCGACGTCTCCCTTCACCCACTTTGCTGTTGTCTGTCCCCCAGGGAGGAGGTCACATATAGTTTCTTGTGATCGGTTCCCTCTTTCCTACCCACTCTCCCTCTATCCTTCCAGTATCGCCACTCACACTACTGGTCCTGTAGGGATCATCCACCCTGGATTCCATGTATTTCCAGTTCCTATCTGTACCAGTGTACATCCTCTGGTCTAGCCAGACTTGCAAGGTAGAATTCGTATCATGATAGTGGGAGCAGGGAGGAAACATTTAGGAACTAGAGGAAAGTTTCATTTTTCATCGTTGCTACATCGCACCCTGACTGACTCGTCTCCTCCCCGAGACCCCTCTGCAAGGGGATCTCCAGTGGCCTACTAATGGGCTTTGGGTCTCCACTCCGCACTCCCCCCATCATTCACTATGGTAAGATTTTTTGTTCTGATGATACCTTATACCGGATCCCTTCGACACCTCGTGATTGCATAGGCTGGTGTGCCTTCCATGTGGGCTTTGTTGCTTCTGAGCTTGATGGCTGCTTGATTACCTTCAAGCCTTTAAGACCCCAGACGCTATACTTTTTGATAGCCGGGCACCATCAGCTTTCTTCACCACATTTGCTTATGCACCCATTTTAGACTAAATTGTTAATCAAGAACACCCCCCACCCACCCAGGTCAATGGTGTCCCGCTTTAAATCTGGTCACCTTAACGTAACAACAAGGGTCTAGTTAACCTTTAAGGAGGCACGATACAGTGCAGAGCAGACACAGTAAGTAACTACTTTTACAAATAAAGGAGATGAGACTTTTTAGCTAGAAGCAACTTGGAGAGCAAAAACCATAATGTGAGGTGTTGATACCCGAGCCACTCTCCTCTTACTGACCTTCTTTCATATGCACCAACTCAGCAGACTCTCAGCAGCCCAGAGACGAGGGGGTGCCCTCTTGCCACCTCCTATTTCCATTTTAAGTGCTGATAACTCCCAATTTTTTACCTCCAAGATAGCATCAAAAGCCCTGCCAGTGCCTTGGGCGAAGATTGAGGTGCTATCTACAGCATCAGCTGCTGACTATCACCAACTGCTCCTCGGGAGAAAGATGCGGCTTTCTCATACAGAATTACCGCTTCAGACACCCTCAGAGGCAGCTCGGCGCTGTCCTCTAGGTTTGCTGTAAGTTCAACCTGACTCAATGGCAGTGGGTTTTGGTTTCATGAAGGAATTCCTCCTGGTCCAGGTCCTACATAGACAACTACCTTCTGGACAGCTTCTCGTGGCATGTATAAAGAAATAAGGCTGGATAATTAGGCAGGCCTCAATTGTCAGCTTAGTCACTTAGCAACTATGAAATGTTTTAAAAGTTATTAACCTCTCTGAGCCTAAAGTACTCATCTCTCTATCCAATACATTTGTTGTGAGCATTGCAAAAGGACACATAAACCGTACATATGCAAAGATGGTCAGCAATGTTGTTATTTTATGTCGTGAGGTGCAAGTCAGTTCTGACTAATAGTGACCCTCATTGTGATTCTTCCAGGTCCTGTGCAGCTCGCTGTTTCTGTTGTTTGAGCTCCTTTGTCAATCCATCTTTTTAAGGATCTTCCTGGTTTTTGCTGACCTACTTTACCAAGCATGCTGTGCTTTTCCAGGGACCGTCTCTCCTGATGACCAGACCAGAGTCTGTGGCACGAAGTCTCGCCATCCTCTCTTCCACGTCCAAGGAGCACGCTGCCTGTCCTTCTGCCCCAGCAGATCTGTCTGTTCTTCTGGAAGGCCAACATATATTGACTATTCTTCACCAAGCCCATACTTCAGCTGCCTCCACACTGTGGTCTTCCTGATATGTTATCCAGTTTCTATGCATATCAGGTGATTGAAAATATTTCTCAAAGTGATATATTTGCTTTCTTGTCCTTTAAAGTTTAGATATATTTGCTTTTTAATCTTTTGGAGTTTTGTTTTTTTGCAGATTTAACCAATGTAACATATCACTTAATTACTTGAAAACATTATGCTAAGGGAAATCAACATCATAAAAATAATAAAATTACTAAAATTAATGAAATTTTCTTATGAAAATATGATACAAAAGCTTGTGTATGGGAATACAAATGATGGCAAAAACCTAGTTATTTTATCCATGGGACTGTGGATGGAATTTGGTGGGTTTTAATTTTTGTTAGTGTTGTTTTTAATTTTTTTTAAAGGGTAAAATATTTTGAATAAAGAACTAAAAATCCTCAGGAATAAAGAAAATGAGGCTGCAGAAAAAAGGAAAGGCTGAACAGTTCCTTGGGACCTGCATTCAAATTCCATTGTTTCTGGTCTTTGACTTTTTAAAATTGAAGTTATATGCATATAATGAAATGCACAAATCTGGATAGAGCCTGCAAAGCACTCCATTGAACATTTCACACACATTCAGCCAACCCCTCATAACCACCATTCTGATCAAAACCTGGAGCAATCCCAGCTCCCTACCAGGCTCCCTTCCCATCCACCACTAATATCCACCCCTAGAGGCCACATCCCTTCATTTGGTGGGGGTGTGATGGTCGGGGGTTGTGAGGGGGTGAGAGAGAGACAGTGAGACAGTGGTACTTTGTTTCATTTTGCTTATTCTGCAAGGAATTTTGAAATAAAACCCAAGTTTACTCCCCAAAGTTAAACAGGTTGTAATCGATGCCCTAGAAACAGGTCCTGATCAGTTTGGAAAGCTCTCTAGGGCCGCTCAGGGCTCTTTTGAGATAGCAGTCTGTAAAGAAAAAACTGAATACCTCCTTTATACGTCATGACCCATATAGCACCCAGCTGACCTAATAATAAAGGCGTGATCATAATTGACTGTAGAGGTTACCATTTACTACAATCTTACAAAGGACTTCCCATGCAACTCTATAACCCATGGCAAGTTAGGTATTAGCAAAACCAGGAAAGATGAACCATGTTTTGTTTCCGGCAAGATAATTATAAAATCTACAACACAGCTGTCCATTGTCCTGCCCGTGGTGGCTTGTGTGTTGCTCTGATGCCAGAAGCTATGCCAGCAGGATTTGAAAGACCAACAGGGTCACTCATGGTGGAAAAGTTTCAGCACAGCTTCCAGATCAAGACAAACTGCATGAGGGCCTACTAATCTTTTTTTTTTTTTTAATCATTTTCTTGGGGGCCCATACCACTCTTAACACAATCCATACATACATCAATTGTGTCCAGCACATTTGAACATTCATTGCCCTCATCATTCTCTAAACATTTGCTCTCCACTTAAGCCCCTGGCATCAGTTCCTCATTTTTCCCCTCCCTCCCGGCTCCCCCCTCCCTCGTGAACTCTTGATAATTTATAAATTATTATTTTGTCATATCTTACACTGTCCGACGTCTCCCTTCACCCACTTTTCTGTTGTCCATCCCCCAGAGAGGATGGTTATATGTAGATCCTTACAATCGGTTCCCCCTTTCTACCCCACCTTCCCTCCACCCTTCCGGTATTGCCACTGTCACCACTGGTCCTGAAGGGATCATCCAATTGGATTCCCTGTGTTTCCAGTTCCTATCTGTACCAGTGTACATCCTCTGGTGTAGTCAGATTTGTAAGAATTGGGATCATGATAGTGTGGGGGGAGGAAGCATTTAGGAACTAGAGGAAAGTTGTATGTTTCATCGTTCCTACACTGCTCCCTGATCGGCTCGTCTCCTCCCCGCCACCCTTCTATAAGGGGATGTCCAGTTGCCTACAGATGGGCTTTGGGTCCCCACCCCACACTCCCCCCCCTCATTCACAATGATATGATTTTTTGTTCTTTGATGCCTGTTATCTGATCCTTTCGACACCTCGTAATCACACACGCTGGTGTGCTTCTTCCATGTGGGCTTTGTTGCTTCTGAGCTAGATGGCCGCTTGTTTACCTTCAAGCCTTTAAGACCCCAGATGCTCTATCTTTTGATAGCTGGGCACATCAGCTTTCTTCACCACATTTGCTTATGCACCCATTTGTCTTCATCAATCATATCGGGGAGGTGAGCAGACAATGATATGATTTTTTGTTCATTGATGGCTGATAACTGATCCCTTCAGCACCTTGTAATCACACAGGCTGGTGTGCTTCTTCCATGTGGGCTTTGTTGCTTCTGAGGTAGATGGCTGCTTGTTTACATTCAAGTCTTTAAGACACTAGACACTATATCTTTTGATAACCGGGCTCCATCAGCTTTCTTTACCACATTTGCTTATGTGCCGGCTTTGTCTTCAGCGATTGTGTCGGGAAGGAGAGCATCATGGAATGGAGGGCCTAGTAATCTATTTCCGATCATTAGTCACTGATAAACCTTATGGACCCACAACAAAGTAGTGTCCATTATAGTGCTGGAAGATGAGTCTTTTAGGTTAGCAGGCATTCGAATACACAGTGGTCTCGTCCATGGACTCGGACAAGCCAATGATCACGACGATGGCACAGATCGGGCAGCATTCCATTCTGTACAACAACGAGTAACAACAGACACCATAGGGTGGAGCTTCTCACAGGATGCCTTTGTCCAGGCACCAATAAGACAGAGCTTCAGACGGACAAAGGCAGTGATGGTGGAGAGACAGCTGGGCATGTTAAAACCATCTTGGGAATGCCAAAACACCAAGCGCGTGTCAGCCCAGATGCCGGCTGGAACCAAGCTCTACCTGGCCCTGCAGTCTGGGAAGGCACCGACAGCTTACTCACCACAGTTCAGTTCTTCTGGGGTGATTGTTGCCACTGACCGTCCCTGGATTCTCCGAGGATATTCGCAGGTGGCTGCTGCTTGCGCATTACCAGACTGGGCATAGGTCTTCAGCAAATCTGCCAACCACAGGATCTCACAGTCACAGCGCAGTGCATTGGAGTCCAATCGCCTTGGAAGAGGAAGAAACATGGGCAGTGAGCAGTAGGAATAAGTAGGCGTTAATCCATCCGAGACAGACAGGGGCACCAGGGTTCAAAAGCCGAAAGGGAACCTGATTCAACAAATATGAGAGGGGCCTTATTGGCTTGATGACACGGGATGAGATTCTGTTTTACCCAAGGTGCTATGAGGCGCAATCCAGCCTTGAGAACCTTGGGGGAGTTGGAAAAACCAAGTGTAGAGACAAAGTCCAATAAAAGGAAGAGCCAGTAAGCGGAGCAGGCCAAGGGTGGAGGGGAATCCTGAAGGACGCTAATCAAAAATGGAAAGGTCCATAACTAACGAGTGTTCAAATATTATCAGCTTTTCCTTCAAAACCAAGGAACAGATATGGACTGTGTCAGTTAGGGAAAGCTTCCTGAATGAGATTTAGGCCAGATCCAATCTATAGAGCAATGATATAATGCCAGTAACAAAGCTTTTTCTCTCTCTCTCTCTCTTTCTCTCTGTCTCTCTCTCTCTCTCTCACTGCCACCAAGTCTATGCCACCTCATAGCAACCCCATAGGACAGGCTGAAACCACCGCTAAGTTTCCAAAACTGTAACTCTTTATGGGAGGAGAAAGTCTCATCTTTCTCCCAAAGAGCATCTGCTGCTTTCAAACTGCCGATCTTGTGGTTAGCAGCCCAATGAGTAACCCCTGTGCCACTGGGGCTCTACGGAACCACAAAGCTCTCACTGTGTTTAACCTCTGACCATCTCACGGGAACTCTGTTAGCTCTGTGGGTCCCGAAGCATCACACAACACTGCATTTGACGATGGCTGGGGTTGACTGGCCATGCTAGTCCTTCCCGTAACCGTCACACACAGTTAAAATTCTCCTGGCAAGTTTCTCATGAAACAGGTGGTTGGTTTCTTTCTTCCCCTTTTCCACCATGCGGAGATTGTGATTTCGTCCATCAAGAGCGAAGCACAAAAGTAGTAGTACAAGGCAGTGGATGAGGAGGAGCACTGGACCCAGAGGCTCGTGGTTGCGAACAGTGCTTCTATGACAGATACTGCCATCGGAGCACCCCATGAACCACTAACTAATTCATCATCAACGTCCCCTGGGAGGGATTATGCTCCATTTCACAGATTAGGACAGGAGATTCAGAAGTTAAGTAACTGGTCCTGGATCACAATGGGAAGAAGGAAGGCAGAGCCAGGATTTGAACTTAGATGATCTCCAGTCATTAATTACTTAGTGGTGGTGCAGTGGCTTAAGTATTAGGCTGCCAACCTCAAGGTCAGGGGTTCAAACACACCAGCCACTTCAAAGGAGTAAGAGGAGGCTGTCAACTGCCTTAAGGATTTATAGCCTCCTAAGCTGTAAGCAGTTCTCTTCTGTCCTCTAAGGTCCCTGGATTTGGAATTGACTCAGTGGCAGTGGAGTCAATTGCAGATCACAGAGTAGAAGCGGGCTCATTAGGGTTGTCCTGGTTGTGACCTTATATCACCAGACGTCATCCAAGGCACCTTTGGGGAGATTCGAACTGCTCCCCTTTCCACACTACTACCAGATTTACATATTACCTCTACCTCTACCCACAGGCCTACTGATGGAAAATAGCACCTATACAATTAGTTTAAACTACTGAAAAAATCTCACTGCTGGCAATGGAAAGTGCTATCGTGAATAGAAACAGCTCATTGACACCCACTCCAGCGGCACTCAAGGCACACATCACGTCCACTGGTACAGCCAGGAACTGGAAACGCAGGGAATCCAGGGCGGATGATCCCCTCAGGACCAGTGGTGTGAGTGGCGATACTGGGAGGGTAGAGGGAGGGTGGGTTGGAAAGGGGGAACCGATGACAAGGATCTACATGTGACCTCCTCCCTAGGGGATGGACAACAGAAAAGTGGGTGAAGGGCAGAAGGGAGACGTCGGACAGGGCAAGACATGACAAAATATTAATTTGTAAATTATCAAGGGTTCATGAGTGAGGGGGGAGGGGGGAGGGAGGGGAAAAAATGAGGACCTGATGCCAGGGGCTTAGGTGGAGAGCAAATGTTCTGAGAATGATGAAGGCAATGAATGTACAGATGCGCTGTACACAATTGGTGTCTGTATGGATTGTGATAAGAGTTGTATGAGCCCCTAATAAAATGATTAAAAATAAATAAATAAATAATAAAGGATGGAGACGTTTCAGGTTTTACAGTCTCAAAAAAGGGGCGGGGGGGGGGGGGCGGGGGCGCACATATCACGCCTGGCATGTCCCAGATGTGCCTTTGCCTCTACCCTGGCTGGAGATTCCATTCCGATTCACAGCACCCTGTAGGACAGAGTAGAACTGCCACAGGGTTGACAAAGCCATAACTCCTAAGGGAGGCAGATGTCTCTCCTCACCCCTCGGAGTAGCTGCTCAGTTCAAACTATCAAATGACAGCAACTTGGTGCTTTAACCACAGCCCCACCCGAGCTCTGTAAATGAACACTCCAAACAAACAGCACCAAGAACAAAAGTGAGCAAAGTCCCTGCCATTGAACGGATTCTGACTCGCAGCGATGCTCTAAGAGAAGGCAGAACTGCCTCTCTCCTTCACAGGCGCCGAAAGCCTCGTCATGCTCCCTCTGGGTGAAGGGGTGGGTTCCGAATACTGCCCGTGCAGTTCACAGCCTATTGAGTGTCACTCACTGTCTGACAAGGGCGCTGTCATTTCACCCAGGGCAGCCGCAGCCACCGGGAGAGGAGACTGGGACTGGAGTAAAGTCACTGCTCCCCTGCCCGCAGGAGAGCCGAAGGCAGAAGTGGTCCGCTCCGGGCTCCTTTCTCTGAGCAGCACAGCCAGCAGGAATGCAGCTCAATGCAGACATTCGGCAGCTCCTCTGGGTCATGATTTCTCAGTTGAGGGAACAGTGATCACGAGGGGCAAATTACTGGTTCAAGGGCACTCCACGTGCGGTAGTAAATCTAGCATTAGAACCAATTCCAACTCCAGAGGCAGCGGCTAACTGAAAGAGCCTCTGGATTTCAGAGCAGTCCTGCAGGCGTGCGGTGGAAGGACTCTAACGGACAGGAATCAATACATTGCTCTGACTAGGCCTTCCAGTGACTGGCCATGTCCAAGGAAGGGACGGTGATCTCGATGGTGTCTAGTATAACACCTATGAAGAGACAGCTACAATCAGAAACCCTCCAGGCAAATGAGAAGATTAGGGGGGTGAGGGTGGGGCGGTGGGATTTATTGGCCTGTGGGAGGTGCTGGGAAATGAGGTTAAAACAGCTCCCCCACAGATGCAGGAACATAATGAATCTTATTTACTTCAAAATCAATCAAACCAACAAAAGAATCCTGTTGCCATCAAGTTGATTTAGAATCACAAACAACACCCGTAGGATAAAGTAGAGCTGCCCCTGGGGTTTCCTGGAACTGCACCTCTTTAGGAGAGCAGATTGCTACATCTTCCTCCCTCCCAGCGGCTGGTGGATTTGATCCACTGGTTAGCAGCAAAGTGCTTAAACCCAGGCGCACTCGACCAGGCGCAACCCAGGCACACTCCACTCTACCGACAAAAGCTTAATTGCTAATTTAGGTTTTATAGTTTGAGCACTATGCATGGTGAGGAGGAGTGAATGGAGATCACCAAAGTTAAATAATTTCCATTAGTCCATTGGATGCAATAGGAACCATGGTGGCGTAATGGTTACACACTGGTCTGCTAACTGAAAGATCAGCCGTTCAAAACCAACAGCTGCTCCAAGAGAGGGCTTTCTACTCCTGTAACGAGTTACCATTTTGGAAAGCCACAGGGGCAGTTCTACCCTGTGAGTTTGGGTGTTGGTTTGCTCTAAGGAGGAACCCTGTTGGCACTGTCAGGTAAGTGACTACTGGTGGAAAGGTTAGCATTTCAAACCCATCAGATGCTCTGCAGGAGAAAGACGAAGTTAGCTGCTCCCCGAAAGATGGATAGTCTCGACTGGGAACCCTACAGTGGGTGGCTTATGTGTCTGAATGGACCCTGAGTGGCGAAAACTCTTAGTGCTGGACACTCACAGGAAGGGTGGTAGTTCAAGTTCACCCAGTGGTGGCAGGACAAAGAAGCCTGATGCTCTATTTCCCTTAAGATTACAGCCAAGAAGCAAGAAAGCCCACATGGAAGAAGTACCCCAGCCTGTGTGATCACGAAGTGTCGAAGGGATCAGGTATCAGGCATCAAAGAACAAAAAAATCAAATCATTGTGAATGAGGGGGAGTGCAGATTGGGAAACCAAGACCCATCTGTAGGCAACTGGACATCCCCTTACAGAAGGGTCTCGGTGCGGAGACGAGCCAGTCAGGGTGCAGTGTAGCAACGGTGAAACATACAACTTTCCTCTAGTTCCTAAATGCTTCCTCTCCCCACTATCATTATCCCAATTCTACCTTACAAATCTGGCTAGACCAGAGGATGTACACTGGTACGGATAGCAACTGCAAACACAGGGAATCCAGGGCAGATGATCCCTTCAGGACCAGTGCTGAGAGTGGCGACACAGGGAGGGTGGGGTGGAAAGGGGGAACCAATCACAAGGATCTACATATAACCTCCTCCCTGGGGGATGGACACAGAAAAGTGGGTGAAGAGAGACGTCGAACAGTGTAAGATATGACAAAATAATAATTTATAAATTATCAAGGGTTCATGAGGGAGGGGCGAGTGGGGAGGGAGGGGGAAAATGAGGAGCTGAGACTAAGGGCTCAAGCAGAAAGCAAATGTTTTGAGAATGCTGATGGCAACAAATGTACAAATGTGCTTGACACAATGGATGTATGCATGGATTGTGAAAAGGGTTGTACGAGCCCCCAGTAAAATGATTAAAAAAAAAAAAGATTACAACCAAGAAACCCCATGCTGCCAGCAGCGTTGACTCCGTAACACACAGTCTCCGTGAGTCCTACGGAACCCCATGGCAACCGGTTTGGGTTCTTTGATCTGTCCTGAATCCTACTTGATTATTCTGAAGGTTTTACCTGACAATTACTTTACTACTCTCCCCCAACTTATTAAATTTGGAAACAATTATGTCTTCTCACTTAGAATGTAGTTTTTATTTGGTGCATGGTTTCTTTACCTTAAAGGGAAAAAAGAAAGTTTTGAAAGCTTTTGCCACATTTCACTAAATAAAGAAAACCTTACTACTGGATCCAGGTTTGTTTTTTTTTATAACTTTCTATTTATTTCCTGAATTCTAGGGCTCAGAAAAGGAGCCTTGGTAGCACAAAAGTTAAGCACGAGGCTGCTAATGGAAGGATTGGCAGTTCAAATGCAACCAGGAGAAAGATGTCACTCTGCTTCTGTAAAGATGGCGACCCACAGAATACTGTGTGGGAATTCTATCAATAATATTAACAACAACAACAACAACAACAAGCAGCCCTCTGAAGGAGAGTAATGACCTTCAATGATTAAGGAGGAGGACACAAGAAAAGAGCTCAAACAACTATCAAGACCCACTGTCATCGAGTCAATTCCAACTCAGTGGGTCTCTCCAGGGCCGAGTGCTAGCCTATATTGAGTTTAGATTAAGAAATTACTTGATCTGAAGGACAATTATATTTTGGAGGTCTTTCAATACTGGAAGGAGCCCTGCAATCTAATGGGTAACTAACTGCCAAGGTCAGCAGTTTGAAACCACCAGCGGACCCATAGTGGAAAGATGAGCTGTCTATTCTTGTAAAGACTGCGCTTCAGAATCCGCCAGGGCAGTCCGACTGGCCTATAGAGTCACAGTGAGTCAGAGTGGACGTGATGGCCATGAGTTTTTAAAGACAAGACAGACTCCAGGCCATTTACAGGAGTCCAGGGCAGAGCCGGCTAAAGAGCTTGGCTGCTAACCAAAAGGTCAGGGTTAGAAACCACAAGCAGCCCCCTCAGAGAAGACAGTTGAGGCCATTTGCTTCCACAAAAATCACAGCCTTAGAAACCGTAGACGGGCAGCTCTGCTCTGGCCTGCAAGGTGGGATGAGTGAATCACCTCGAGGGCAGCAGTTTGGGTCTCTTGCTTCCATTCGATGGACTTAGTTGTATTTACAACTAAATTAAAAGGAATAGGATACAGTTTAGTGATTCTTTCTAGACTGATTTTATTTCCACTAGGAAATTATGCACCACTGTGATGAAAATTAAACAACTTTATTCATGGTTTTAAGAAACCCTTCTCAGATGAGCCAGTTACGGTGCATTTTAGCACTGATGAAACATACAACTTTCCTGTAGTTTTTTAATGCTTCCTGCCCCCCCACAATCATGATCCCAATTCTACCTTACAAATCCGGTTAGACCAGAGCATGTACACAGGTACAGATAATAGCTGGAATCCAGGACAGATAAACCCCTTATGACCAATAATGAGAGTAACAATACCAAGAGGGTAAGGGGAAGGTGGGGGAGAGAAGGGGAACCGATCACAATGATCTACATGTAACCCCCTCCCAGGGGGATGGACAATAGAAAGTGGGTGAAGGGAGACAACAGTTGGATTAAGACATGAAAAAAATTTATAAATTATTAAGGGTTTATGAGGGAGGGAAGTGGGAAAGGGGAGAAAATTAGCTGATAACAAGGGCTCAAATGAAAGAACATGTTTTGAGAATGATGATGGCAACATATGCACAAATGTGCTTGACACAATGGATGGATGGATTGTGTTAAGAGCTGGATGAGCCCACAATAAAATGATTTAAGTTTTTAAAAAAATCTCTCAATTTTCAAAACTGATCTCATAGTACCAATTAAAGGATTATTTCATTACCACATTATCTGAGTCATCTCTGAATTCTGTTTTATTTCTAACGGACTTAATCCATCCTCCACATGTTTGCACTCTGCCATAATACATCTTCTGGTTGTTCAAAGCACTTCAAAATCCCCAACAAAAGAGACCAGGCATATGGATGACAAAGAGAAATCAGGCTTTGCTGAACAAGTAGCGTAAAAGGCATTATACTTACAATCTTTTCATGGATTCCAAATGATTAAATGTTCCTGGAACTAAATGTGTGATTCGGTTGTTATGTAAAAATCTGTTTAAAGAGATAACAAATCCAGTTTTTACAATATTTCTCAACCATGTAGGAAAAAATATAAAAAGTCAAATGGATATATTGGATACATAAGATATGGCAAAAATAAAATAAAAGTCAAATATATTGTTATTTCTCTATATTTCTGTGATTACAATTATTTAATACAAATGAATGTGAAAACAATGGTAATTACTCAAAGCAAAAACTGTAGCCACCCCTCCCCCATTTTACTACCAATTTCCCAATTAGAGAAAGTTATGGGCCCAGTTGCCAGACTGCTAATTACACTAGGAACATAGATTCTATATCAGAAAAGGTTTTTTTAGGGATTTGAATAGATACAGACCTAAATTCTAGAAGACAAAGTGAGCAAACCCCATAAACATCATGTTCTTTAGGTGAAAATGTAGAGAATAAAATGCAACTCACAGTCTTTCAAGCTTTGGTAGATATTGGAATGATTCTGGGTCCAAAGTTTCTATCTGATTAAAGTGCAGGTATCTAGAAAAGTGTTTATAAAAAAGAGGAACAAAAGAAAAAAAAACATAATTTAAAACTATTTTGATTATTTTTTCAGATACATATTTATTTTTTCTAAATATTTTTCAATTCAGATGCCAACAGATAACTCTATATTTCCTCCACTGCACGGGAAGCAGATAAAACATTAAAATAAGAAGATAAAACAAACGTTGGTCATGTGTGCTCATAAATAACCAGTATAAAATATAGATCTACACACTGTCTTAATGATGATGCTCCCAGGCCTATTTTGCTTTCTTTAAAAATATATGATCCTATCACTTTTTAAAAAATCAACATAATATTAATTATACTGAATATGCAAATATACAAATATCACCACTATTTTAACTAGTATATTCATTTGAAGGAAAAAAAATCAACCTGTTTAATTTACCCTTAAGCATATTGTTATCTAACTAAATAACTGCTGGAACAATAAAGAAAACAATACAAAGTTAAGACAATATGTTTAGTTACATGGTCTTTAATTTCATAAAAATCCAGATTCTCATTCTTTTCATTTAAGATGTTTCCTAAGATGCCACAATGTGGCATACCTAATTTCTTCCAAGTTCCTGAAAGTTGATTTCCTCAAGTGGTCCCTCACTTTGAAAATTGGCAGGGTTTTCTTCTCTCCCCTCTCATCTCTCCCTTAAGTAAAATGTGATGAAATCATCCTTCTACTTGGGGTTCTTAAACCACCAAGCCAGTGCCTCCGCAGTATGAACCATCTTTCCACAATACAGCTATCTACTCGCTCATCACTGAAAATAAGCACGAATTCTTTTAGAGGTCCTGGGGACCAACGAAAATAACAATTAAAATATTGGAAGTTACCACCTTTCTCATAAATCCAAAAAAAAGAAAATCAGTCTTATAGAGATTTTCATTATCATTCTGAAATTTACTTTAACTCAAGATCAGGAAACTTCCATGGCTTGAATACCTATCCTGTTTCATAAGTGGCTCCTTTTCTACAGCTGATCAATAGTCAAAATAAACCTGTGGTCCTTTCTTGGGTTTCTGTGCAGCTGAAAGATGCAGAGCGCCCTACCAGACGTGCTTATTGTTTTGAACATGCCTTTCCTACTTCTTTCCCTCATATGCTCATTACTCGCCAACTATACGAGGACAGACATGGCCGAATGGGTGACATTCAGCAAGAAGAGGAAGGGACTGCAAAATCAGTTGTTACTGTAGCCAATATTCAGAAGGAGGAGGGAAAAAAATTAAAAACACTATGGAACATCTCCTACTTGCTAAATAATATGCTGATATAGAAATCATGGTCCCTCATTTCCTGCAAAATAGACTTATCAAACAGACAGACACAGTATCTATCTATCTAAACGTGATTCACAGAGGAGATCCTTTTAGTCCTGCTCGGACATGTGAAGAGTCCTGAGTTTTGAAGAATAAGAAACCAACCAAGGGAATTAGGAAAAAAAGAGGAAGACTATGGGAGAGTCATCATTTGATGGTTATCTGCTGTAATAATGTTTTCACTTGGCACTCACAGCAAAAGTTGGATCAGGGAAAAGATGAAGTAGGTACGACTTAAGCATTCCATGTTCAAAAGCACTTAGGAAAAATTACTGTCAGGGATTTCTAGAACCGTAGGGTTTCTTGAGGCTTCTCCTAAGGAGTTTTCATATTAAAACAGACTCTAGGAAGAAAGGTCTGGTAGCCTACATCTGAAAATTCGTCTATAAAGACATCATGGATCACAATAGAACGCTGTCTGACCTACTTACTTCGGACATGATATCAAAGGCAACCATCACTGGTAGAAGAGATGGTGTCTGGTGATGGAGAGGGACAACCAGGGTGAGGGTAACCCACCTTGAGAGGAAGGGACACAACAGTTGCAATAAAGGTCTGGAACTCGAGACTGTCAGGATAGTACAGGGCTGGGCACGTTTCGTTCTGAGCTACATTAGGTCACCATGAGTAAGAATCATGAGCCAGAGCTCAAGGAGCCCTGGGCACTACTTCATCTAACCCTCTGCCTGGACAGTTGAAGAAACAAGGGCTAAAGTGACTGTTCTCATCCCCAAGAACACTTACGTCATTGCTGACGTCACATCCCTGTCTCCTGATTCCGGTTAAGCACGTTTTCTGATACCTGACAGTGTCCCCACAGGGCTGCTCATGTAGACAGACCCCAGGGAGCTGGCCCACGGCGCATGCCTCATTGCCTCTTTGGATGTGGCCTCTGCCACATTGCCTTTTCCTCTGTGACGCAGATTCCTTATTCTCAGACTGGCTTGTCAGCACATTACCCTACATCACTACAGAGAGACTCTGGGTATCAATCTCATCCTGGGTGACTAGAATGCGCTTGTTCGATGCAGTGGGACGGAGTCCAAGCAGATCCGGAACTGTGCCCTCCCTGCTGTGCTCAGCACTTTGAACACAAGTCAGTGATAACCTGAAGCCACTGTTGACACGGTTATCTCCTCTCTACAGGGTACACTCTTTAAAGATGAAAGAACATGTCCTAATCGTCCCCTTTATTTCCCTCAGATAGTCAACAGTGTTGATTGAATGAAACAAAGGTATCAATAGCTGAGATTCCTAACTAATCTATTCGGAGGTTTCAAAGGCAGCCAAACAGACCACTCAAATTGCTCTCCCTATATTCATTAAAATCTCTAGAGTCAAAATATTTTTCATATATGGTATTCTCTCCGCTTCCATTTTCTCCTAAGACACTTCCCATTCCTTCCCTAAAAATAATGTTCAATTTATCTCCTCACAACGTTAGGTAACCATCACCAGACAGTCATTGTTGTAGCTCATGGTTGTCATCGACTTGCCTTATTTTCTATTAAAAACTTATTGTATGCAAGTGATCCTTTGAAAACTCTCCCTGATTCATGTGTTCTTGCTATGATCTAAATATTCTTTTTGTTTCATTTTCCCGAAAGCAAAAAACTCTATTACTCCTTTAGACACAAAAACGAAAACCAAAATTACGGCCACGAGTCCGTTCTGACTCAGCGACTTTACAAGAGAGAGTAGAACTGGCCCGATGGGGTTCAAGCCCCATCTTTCTCACGAGGACCAGCTCGTGGCTTCAAACTGCGGGTCTTGCTTGCAGTTGCCGTCCGGCTCAGGGCTCTGAAAATAAACCCAAACCTCCTCCTATCGAGTTGATGCCAATCAAAGCAATGCTCTAGGGCAGAAAAAAACTGCCCCACAAGTTTCCAAGGCTGTGACTTTTAAGGAATGAGACTGTCCCTTCTTTCTAGCACATTCTGGCTGGTGCGTTTGAACTGCGGAACTACACTTTTGCCACAGTGTCATCAGGAATCCTACTCCTACGTTAAGCTCCCCACGAAACTCACTGCCATCCAGTGGACTCACCCTCACAGCAACTGCCCCTTTGGGTTTCCAAGACTGTAAACCAGGGGTCCTCAAACTTTTTAAACATGGGACCAGTTCACTGCCCCTAAGACCCGTTGGAGGGCCGGACTATAGTTTAAAAAAAAAAAAAAAACTATGAACAAATTCCTATGCACACTGCACATACCTTATTTTGAAGTAAAAAAACAAACGAGGCAAAAACACCTGGAAGGCTGGATAAATGTCCTCGGAGGGCCACACGTGGCCCGCGGGACCACAGTTTGAGGACCCCTGCTGTAAATCTTTATGTATCCACAAAAAGCCCCCTCTCTCCCAGAGAGTAGCTGGTGGGTTTGAAAAGCAAAGTGCAGTTACCAGCACAATGCATACCTCCATATCCCACCTTCAATACAACGTCTCAGATGTAGTTTACGCCATGTAGAATACGCAAAGAAAAGGTTTTACTTGGATTAAATACTGATTTGTAAATATAAGTATTGTGTGTACTTTTAAGCAAATTGTTTCAAAGTGAGTTCTCCCCCCAGATCTGCCTTTGAAAATATGGCTGTGTCCAATCAGCCAATGAACCATGTAGAGAAATAAGTTTAGCAAAAGAAAGTCATGGTGCAGCCTAACAAACTTCAGTCACTCTCCATCCATTTTGTAAAACTGAATGATAACTGAAAACCCCTTAGCTAATTTAGTAACTATAGCTGGTCAAGCAAACTGCCTGCCATCCACAGCCCCGTGGGCCGCTTAGTGAGTTACCTGAGGGGCTGCTCACTACAAGGAGAGCGGGTAGGAGCCACCAGCCACTCACAGAAGAAAGATGGAGCTTCTACTCCAGCACAGATTTACGGTCTCGGAAAACAGGGGGAGTCCACTCTGGCTGTGGGGCCGCTGTGACTCAGAATCAACTCCACAGGCAAAAACAAAGGAATGAACTAGTTAAAACAAAACACAGCAGAAAGAATCAACTCCGCAGCGGGGAGAAATCTTGACAGGAATAGAAGGCTTCATCTTTCTCTCACAGAGAAGCTGGTGACTCCAAACTGCCGAGTCTTCGGTTAGCAGCTCAGCTGATAATCACCCTCTACGCCACCAGGTCAAGCAAAAAAACCCAGTGCTTGGGAGCGGGGGCGGGGGCGCAGGGATTGAAACTTGAAAAAAATAAAACTCAAAAACTTTCAATAGCACTGAGAAATCACCATGCTGACTTCATTGCAAAGCATGATTCATGAAGCCAAAAGAAGAAATTTTATATATATATATAAAATAAATAAAATCCTCTCCCCCACTGAAAAAGCGGTGGTAGGCCAAATAGCGTTTGGGAACCTCCGGTTTACAATGGAACCCATGTCCTCATCCTCCTTTGCTTGCTCTTTCTACTGCTGGGATAGTTTCCCACTTTCCTGTGCTGCCATGTCTGTGTCTCTCATTCAGTAAATGCTGTCAAGATGGTTCGTCCGACTTGCTCTTCTTCGTGTCGTGACACGTAGCACACGATTTGCTGTATGGCGCAAATCCAATGAGTGGATAAACAGATGGTCGCACGGACGGATGGCTGGATAGACAGGTGACTGACAAGTCGATTCCTGTTTCTGTCATCTCCACGCACATACTACTGGGTCTAGCTACCTACATCCCACTGAGCAGTCATGCATCATGCAAGCAGCTAGCACGGTTCATTGTTCCTTCTGAGAGGCAAACAGGCAGGTGACACTACAGAAGCTGAAGCGCAGAAGAGAAAGGGCACTTACAGTTGCTCTAGAGAGGCAAGTCCCTTAAATGCTTGCCTGTCAATTGACTGGATTTCATTCTTGTACAAATAGCTGAAACAAGAAACAGGAGGGAGTATTAGCACACAAACAAGAGCTAATAACTTCAGATGGAAAAGAAGAATCAAGTTGACACATGGAGACAGTTTCCAAATTAATGACTGTATTAGGGTACAAACAAAACATTACAGAGTGAGTAAGAGTCTTCTTACAGAGGCTCCCTTTTCCTTCTAAGGAAGTCTCAGGTGGATTAAAAGTGAATGGTCCAAACTGAGAGTGATGAAACCTGTCCTTCAGCTAATTTACTGATTTGACTCTATGGCTTATGAATTACTGACAGCACATTTGCTTCAAAACCTGAATAACACAATCATTTACCTATAAACTTGTGGAAAACGTTCATTACAGGGAGGGGGGAATCCACAGAATGTAAGATTTTATAACTGATTCTAAAATATTTATAAATCATTTAGGGAGCACAGAATAACAAAGAATAAATGGCTGTTTGAATTACTCATAGACTCAGAAACCTATTTCTATAAAATAGAAACAGTAGCACACCAAGGAATCACATAATATAGCCCAACACCTTAGTTTTTTATGGCCTGTTTTTACATTTAATTGTTAACAAATATCGAAGAAAGAATAATATTATGTGATGCATGAAAATAATATGAAATCTGATTCCGGTGCCATCATGAGATTTCACACAGGCACAGCTGTGCTTACTCATGTCTATGTTGCCTGATGCTGCATTTGAGCTCAATGCCAGAGTAATTACGACAGAACCCACGTGACTCATGGAAATTAAAATACATTACTTTGTGACGCTGTAGAAAAACATTGCTTAGCACCCGATCTAACCTGACAAGGATGAAGACTTTCACACCAAAGTACAATTCAGCAGTATCGTGATTCCAAAAAGAATGATAAAACTACATATAGAACTTACTACTCTTAAACTCTATTATAAGGGAAATGGTGCTGAAATTAAGCCAGCCTCACTGTATATAGTTTTATGGTTCTTTGTAGAATTGTGATACTTCAGAATATTGGAACTATGATATGAAAGTCTTCATCCTTGAAAGGTAAGACCAAGCGCTTGCAAACTAGTTCTCTAAGTTTCCAGAAATGATGCATTTTCATCTCCACGGATCATCCGGTCTGTTACAACTAGTGTGTAGCACGAAGACCACCAAAGGCAACATATGAACAAGCGTGGCTGTATTTCAGCCCACAAGGTCAGCAGTTCAAAACTACCAGCAGCTTTGCTCGAGAAAGATGAGGCTTCCTACTCTCCTAAAGATCTCCACTCTCAGGAGCTCACTGGGGCAAGTTCTACTCTGTCCTCTAGGACTATGGTGAGTCAAAACTGACTTGATGGCAGTATCTCAGTGAAATGTCATGTCAGTGGCATGAACACTTCATGTGGTGTCACAAAACCTTCTTCTTCTTCTTCTAATATACAGTCCTATAGTAATAGTAAAGAATAATGGTTAAAGTACCAGCTGTTAATTGATAGGTTGAATTGCAGTTCAACTCAACAGCTGCTTGTGTGAAAATGTCCTTATCTGCCTCCATAAAGATTTTAAAACAAAACCAATCTCACTGCTATCAAGTCAATTCTAGCTCATAACCGCCTACAGGGCAGGGTGGAACTTCCCCTGTGGGTTTCCTACACTATCATTCTTTATGGGCGTGAAAGGCCTCTTCTTTCTCCTGTGGGACAACTGACCGTTTCAAAGTGCTCACCATGTGCTTACCAGCCCAACTGCGCCACCAGGGCTCATGCCTCAAGTTCACAGTCTTAGAAACCCTATGGGCCGTTCTCCTGTCAGGCAGGGGAACTAGGAGCTGAGGCTGACTTGATAATGGAGGTTTTTAGGATAGTAGTAAAGTAACAGAGAATCCCAAGAATTTTGTAAATAAAATTTATGTAAAATAAAAGATAACTTGACACACAGATATGTGCCTTTGATGTCTCCTACAATCGGTCTTGCTTCAGCTTTGATCAAGGTAGATTCACAAATCAAAGTCCACACTTTTCCCACCTTTCAGAACTGTTTTTGCAGTTACTCACTCAGTGAATGAATTTTCACCTACCTAAAGGAGTCTGATGGTGTTGTGGTTAGCATTGGGCTGCTAACTACAAACTCGGCAGTTGGGAACCACCATTTGCTCCCAGGCCAAAAGGGCTTTCTGCTCTGCATACAGTTACAGGCTCAGAAAAATCACAGAGCAGCTCTACCCTGTCTTATAGGATGGCGATGAGTCAGCATCAACTCGATGGCACCAAGTTTAGTTTTCCAAATTTTATTTTGCTAAATATAGTGTGTGTGTGTGTGTGTGTGTGTGTGTCTTAAAGCTCATAGTATTGCATCTTTCATTTTCAAAAGGACAATGTGGTTTGATGTGACTTAATTACGTAGTAATGTTCTTAGGAGCCAAGTTTAAAAAGACCTACTCTGCTATCTGTAATTGTTACAACCTATCTAAATGGTGCTCACTTCTCTATAAATTTGTTAAGGTTGTCCCTTAATAAAAAACTGCAAGCTTGAACATAAAGCAAAGTTTGCCTAGCCAGTGACAGTCCCATGAAAATACCAGAGACATCCCTTGGCAGTGAACTTGGGCAGAGAGCATGGGTCTGGGTCTTCAAGCCGTCAGTGATTAGCTGTGTGGTCTTGAATAAGAAACGTAACCTCTTTGAGCCTTAAAGTTATTTTTAATTTTTGTTTTTTCTTCTTCTATAAAATGGAGAAAAATAGCAGTATCTTCCAAAATGGTTGAGAAGATTAAAAAAATGAATAGATGTAAAGAATACAGTCTGACCACAGTGCCTGTTCAGGCATTGTTTGTTATCAATATTCCTATGAAAGGCAAATCTTGGCGTAGATTTCTGTGCCCATTTCTTTTATTGAAAACAAAAGACTAGTTGAATACCAGCACTAACATCAACATCATACTGAATGGACTTTAAAAATAGAGATAAGAAAATATTTTAAAGAGGATATAAGACAAGTCAATCAAATATGGATAACTACATGCTTCCAAAGAAAATAAAAAGCCCAACCCATCCCCATGGAGTTGTTTCTGACTGACAGTAACCCTAGGAGACTGTAAATATTATTAGAACAGACAGCCTCATCTTCCTCTCCTGCAGCACACCGGACAGAGCCACCAGGGTTTGCTGATTATAAAGACATGATTTATTCTTAAGAATTGAGGACTGGTTATTCTAATTATAAGCTAGATTTAATTTCTATTTCACAGACGTGGTCTTCTGAGTCTGAGTTTCATCTCAAGAGTTAATTTCACAACTACAAAGACTTCTAGACTTGCCAAAAAGGGCTTCCAAAAGCTCGTGGAAAGATTATATTCACTTTTAATACCATTTTCCCATGATATTTTGAAGCCCTGACCAAGAAGAAAATAAGGTGACAGGAAATACAAGAGCATTCAACTTCTGGAAATACAATGTGACACTCAAATAGACACTAGATACACAAGGTGAGACACAAGTCAGGTGCATTCTTAAGTATTTCAATCACACTACTATGCAGTCCCTTAAAGCAGTGCTTATCAAAATGCACTCGGTCAAGGCAAGCTGAGGAATTTGCAGAACAAAACTGGAATTCCAAAACAGTATAATAAACGTGTCCCATTTCTATCTCCTCTCTTTATGGCTCTATACTTGCCTTCTTGATTTTTTTCTCCTGAGTGGCCCACCTCCTCCCTGAACTAATGCCCTACTGCTGCTCATTCCATCATGGACAGTCTGCGTTAGCTACCACTGGTGGGCGGCAGCACTGCCGTGCGACCAAAAGAAAGAAAAAAGGTTAGAAATAGAGTCCCTTGAAGAGTATGTTGTCAAGGTTTAAACAGTGTCATTTAAAAAAGATTTCCTTAAATGAAAAAATGAGTATCACAACTTATTTAATATCAAAATATTTGCAAAGCTGTTCTTAAGTAACTGGGAAAAGTGGCTCACAATATAAATGCTAGCTATCCGCTAACTGAATAGGCTTTCCCAAAACATCAAAAACTCCCTTTTGAAACTCACTTGGCGAAAAAATTCAAAGTAGACCCATTCTTCATTTTCAAAATGAATAAAATAAGTTTAATAATATTCACAGGGGATTAAAAATTATCATAATGGGTCAAAAATAGTGGAGAAAAATATTTATACCTAATATTTTCAATAGATTTAACGATAACTGTGTAGTTAGTAACTACTGACACATCTAAAATAGATGCAAACGATACGCTGGGATTAACAATATGACTGCTCAAAATAAGAAAACAAAAAACGATATAACAATGTTATTTAGGTTCACATATTATACAAATTTCTAAAAAAAAAAAATCAATAATATAAACCTTCATGAAAAACAGCTATATCTGAAACTTTTCTCTACATCCTAAAACTAAGAATAACTTGTGAAAGCACACAGCACATGTCTGTGATTTTTCAGAACCAAGAATTAAATCTGAATGTTTTACTTATTTTCCAATTATAAAATAAGTTGCTTTCAAGAATACAAAGCAAGTATTTTGTAAAGAGGTAATTTTTAAAGTTCAAAATTCACTTCAGCAAACATGATATTAATGATAATAAAGCAACTAATCAAAATCAATTTTAATACTAAAGTAAAATGGAATGGAATTACACATAAGGAGACGAACATTTCTAGAATTAAGTACAGGGGGACATACCAATCGGATTTTAAATTTGCATCTTTATATTTCTCCAACAATACCATGATACTGTAATCAAAATGGCTGTTGCAAGCTTATATTTTGCAAAGCCTATGTAAGCTGTTCAAATTAGTAACTAAATACGTTACTACCTTCCACTTCAAGAATCGTCATTCCTATTCTTAAAATATATTCAGTAGCAATGCAATTTAATTTTATTCAACCTATTTTACTTAAAGTTTAATAGCTAAATAACAAAAACCACATAAGGTGTGCTGATGGAAACTCATTTTAACAATTCCAACCAAAGTTTCACCCACCTGAGAATAAAATCTCTTTATATAAATGAATTTACAATCATTCATGAGATAATTTAGCTCAATGATCAGATAGTTTGAAAATATAACACATAAGCTTTGGTGTTAAAGAACTGATCATTAACTTACAGATATTTTAAATTTTCCAAGTCTTCAAATGATCCACTAGGTATTCTCTTGATCTGATTATTGTTGAGAAGCCTATGAAAAAAATTTCAATATAAATTAAGGGGGAAAATCCAAACTGTAATTAAACAACACATCTAGAGTCGGAAACAAGCACAGAATTATTAAGCTACAAAGCTCTTCAACAGCTGACTTTAAATTCTAAGTTACCACAACAAAGGGGATAAACGTATTTAACTTTCATAATTACACATTTTCAAACACAATGTTTATCCATATCACCTCACTTTTTATTTAACCTTTGAGTACAATGAATATTTGTCTCTACGAAACAAAGGAATATAATCTTTCTCCTGTTTGCCCCTAGATTTTCTATTTTAGTAGGCAAATCTCCAGGCACTCATAAGATTATAGAACAGTCTAGTCAGATGTGTTATTAAGAGTACGTCATCTAGTTCAATGAGCCCTTCCCTTTCCCAGATAAGAAACTGGCATGCAGGACAATTCGGTGTTCTGCCCACAGAGAGCAATGTTAATTAGTATATGGTTCTCACTTCCTATTCTTTGTACTTTCCTGTATGTCAATCACTCACTGTCTGAAATAGGAGTGCCAAGAGAAATGAGCTTTCCGATGTGTCATTCAAAAATCACCTGAAGTCTGCTACAGAACCATTCCAACACTGGCCAAGCCAGTTTCTTAGTTCTGAATCCTGTAAGGCAGTGGTTCTCAACCTTCCTAATGCCAGGGCCCTTTAATACAGTTCCTCATGTTGTGGTGACTTCCCAACCATAAAATTTTTTTTGCTACTTCATAACTAATTTTGCTACTGTTATGAATCGGGTGACCTCTGTGAAAGGTCGTTTGACCCCCAAAGGGGTCGCGACCCACAGGTTGAGAACCACTGAAGGTCCCAATCCTGAGACACAATGGACTCCGAGAGGTTTGACACATACGCAGAGCATTCAGGAGAAGCACTGTCTTCAATCTTGCAACTAAAGACATGAAAGAGTGGCTATAATCAAACATGATCTAGCAAGTGACAAAAGAGATGTGATAATTAGAAGAAGAAAAAAAGAGGAAACTTGGCTGGTTTTATGGAGTCTACCCAAAATACAATGGACAGGTAAAAAGATGTCCTACGAGACAGAGAGATGAACAAAATGAACAAGCTGCAAACAAGCACAGTTTGACTCGTACTTTTTGTTCCCATTTGCATAAACATGTCTCTGTCTTGGTCTCTACTTTTCCCAACATGACCAATCAATACAGATAAGCAAAAGTTGATCCTAATTGATGTGTGTATGGATTGCGATAAGTTGCATGAGTCCCTAATAAAATGTTTTAATAAAAAAATAAATAAATAAATTTTTTTAAAAACATTGATCCTACTATTCAAGATATACCTCCGAGCAAATGACATAATGGCAAATAAATATATTTTCCCCGACAGGTTTCTATCAAATTTTTCAACTTACAATGTATTCAAGTTCCTCAGACCTCTGAATGCTCCAGGTTGGATCTCCCTAATTCTGTTAAAGCGAAGATCCCTGTAAAGAAACAAGAAATGTACTTATGCTGGAGAGAAATTTACAATCATGGCTACTTCCATGCTAGTCTTACTTATTCTGTTTCATAACTGTAACAAGGCATTTAAAAAACTATGTTCACTTCCTGAATGAATGAGCTAAAAATGCATCTGATAAGTACAATATCATTTTTCTAGAAATTTATTTAAACACTTTTGGGGGGCTTGTTTTTAATTCTATGGTTCTCTTTTGTTGTAGTTGTTCTGTTTCTTGGATTTTTGTTTTTTGGGTAGATTAGCAGCTGTATATTGGCAATGAACTATCATAAATTCAAGTAGATCCAGAAGAGGTTGTTAAATGAGAGATTTCATTGACAAAGTCAGATGAATCTTGACTGAAACCAGAGAATTCCAGGAAGATGTTTAAACTGTTTACTTGTGTTTTATTGACTATGCAATGGCACTTAACTATGTGGATCATAATAAATTACAGATAACATCTTGAAAAATAAGAATTCCAAAATACTTAATTGTGTTCACGCAGAACCCATACATAAAACAAGTGTCAGTTGTTTGAATAGAACAAGGACCTACTGTGTTTTATATCAGGTGAGGTGTGGGTCAGGGTTATATACTTTTATGATACTTATTCCATCCATGTGTTAAGTAAATAATCCGGAAAGCTAGGCTACTTAAAGAAGAATGCTGCATCAGAATTAGAAAAGACAATTTAATACCTGAAATATGCAAATAATACATTTGCTCACTGAAGCATTACCATATAATCCATCTTCAGTTTGGATTATACCTTACCATAAGGAAAATAAAAACCCCCACAACTGCACCAATATGCAATATCTTGATAAAAAAGATTGAAGTAGTCAAGGATTTTATTTTATTGGATCCACAATAAACCCCTCTGGAAATATCAGTCAAGGAATTACAGGATAGATTGCATTGGGGAAATCTATTGTAGGACCCCTCGAAAATGTCGTCAAGATGTTCACTTTGAGATTTAAGGTGACCCAAGTCATGACATTTTTAATCACCATCTGGAAGAAGCTGGCCAATGAATGAGCAGACTGAAGACGCCTTTGAATTATGGTGCTGGTGACGAATACTGAACATACCATTAACTTGCAGAAGAACAAACCAATCAATCTTGGAGGAAGGATAGCTCCTTAGAAAAGAGTATGGCGAAACATTATCTCACGTAATGTGGACATGTTCTCAAAAGAGACCAGCCCCCGAGAAGGACACCCCGCTCGTGAAGCAGAGGGTCCTCAAACACAAGAAGGACCCGCCACATGAAGGGCTGACACAATGGCTTCAACAATGCACTGAAATGCAGCGCGAGTTGTGAAAATGGCCAGAACTGGGCAGTGTTTCATTCTGCTACGAAGAACAGACTGGCAGCACCTATCAACAAGTCTGATGATGATAAACACGGGTTACAGATGCACATCTTCCAGTAGGGAGCACAACATTCAAACCAGGGGCACAATTGTATAAACATTTTAGGTTTTACTCCAATAATTTGATGAGCTGTAATTCAGTCTTTGATCAATTCCCTACCTGTTATCTCAGTGAGAAAGTTTAGACTGAATACCTCAGAAGCTAATCAAGCATATGAAACATAAAAAAACAAGGCTTTTTAACATATGGCTTTTAATCTAACATTTCAACTTCCCCAAAATCCAAACTCGCTGTCATTGAGTCAACTCAGCCTCATACAGAACGGCCGCAGTAGGTTTCTGAGGATGAACCGGAAGCATCGTGTTGCTCCCTCTGAGCAGCTGGGGAGTTCAAACTGTTGACCTTGCTGTGAGCAGCCCAGGTGTAACCCACCAGGCCACCAAGGCTACGTGATATTCCAACAAACACTTTAAATACAACTAAACCTGTCACAGTGAAGCAGTGATTTTTATTTCGAAGGTGGAGGATGATTTGAACAGTCCACAAGAGACTGAATTTTGGAGTTGACACAGGAGGGCTAGAAATGCACAGCTGCTTCTAGATTTCTCTCTCAAAAAGGTCGAGAGCACAGCAGCATGTGGAAAACACGACCGGTGTCCGGACACAAGGTCAAAAAAGTCACTTACGCAGCGGTAGGACGTGAAGATTTACAGACACCTGTGTTTGCACACACCTTAAAGACCCGTCTCAACATGAATGAAAACATTTAGGAGGGAGACAAGAATCAAAGCCACTATGAAAACGAAACAGGAAGGCCGGTTCCTTTATCAAATCACATGAAAATGTCCAACCCATCCTCACACCGTCTAATTAGGGACCCTGAGTAACCATTTGATCAATAGCTTGAAAAGATATTTTATTATGCATTTATTGAATTCACTGAATGCCTATAAATTTTTTTTATAAAAAGCTGACTGTTATGAACAGTGGTTTATATAATGGGTTCTTGATTATGATTCAAGCATACTAAAACTTTTCTTAAAAAATACTTGCTTGGTTCCTTAATATTAACTGTATTAAGCTTACCCAAAAACCACTCTCATCCTTCAGTCAATTCCAACTCAGAACAGAACTGCTCCACCAGTGTGCCCCAAATGGCCGGTGACACAGTCCAGCGCTGGTTTCACTGCTTCAGGTCCCCCGGTTCCTGAGGTAGTCACCAACCTGTGCTTACGAACGACAACTTCCCACCATGGATTGCTTGCTTCTAATTATCTATGAATACACTTTTCATACTCCCCACCCACAGACATGTGCAGATTTACAGAAATGAGAATTTAATTTACTTCCTATTCAGAATATCTCACAGAGCCCAACTTAAAAAGGGTACAAGAAATATGAAAAACTGCAAAGCAAAGGGTAGGCATGGAAGAACAAATACTGAGGGGGTGGGGGGAGAGGGGCGGGGAGGCAAGTCAGCCCAGATAAGATTTTTAATGATGAAACATTCTAGTAATTGTAAGGAGACATTTTTAACTAGGCAAGACTTCAGCCGAAGCCCCTGGGTGATGCAACCAGTTAATGTGTCCTGCTACGAATTGGAGGTTCAGGTCTACTCCAAGAAAGGCCAAGTCATCTACTTCCAAAGAAACGCCCCTTGAAAATGCTGCCAGAGCACAGTTCTACTCAGACACACATCGGGCCCCGTGAGTCAGAGGCAACTCGTGGCCTCTGGGAAAAAGACTTTCGTGTCAACAAAAACAAACAGGAAGCTTTCTTATCTCAGACGTAGAATCTGAATGGCAAGCCTGGGCTGACACTAGAGGAAGCTGATTCTGCACCTCCAGAGTAAGGAGTCTGCAACACAGTCACCTTGTTCACCCTGCTCCTGGTCAGAAATGACACGTCCAAGAGGAGATAAGGCCAGGCATTTTGGAAACTAGAAAGCTGACTGCTGAAGATTCATGGACTTGGTCATTTAAAATTAAAATCAAAGCTGACTACTGGGAGAGCTATCAGTCCGCCCTAATTACATGGCCAAGCCAACCCCAGTCTGAAACATGTGTGGACCAAACCTCTGAAAGTGATGGAGGTGACGGAGTAGCTACTGCTGTGGTGCCCAGCAGGCACCAGTGACATTTGTCAATCGGGCAATTGAAATGTGACCCATCCTGATCTGGATAAATTATGAAGTGTAATGAATACACTAGATTCCAAGTTTCATACAAAACAAAACCAGAATTTAAAATGTATTATCAACCACTTTTATACTTGCTTCTTATTTAAATATTAACTTTTCAGCAAGTTAAAGACAATATCAAAATACATTTAAGTTGTTTCTTTTTCATTTGTTTAACATAATTACTAGAGAAATCTTAAGTTACATGTGGGTCCCTCATTATATTTGTATACAGCAGCTCTTATTTCAAAGGAAGAGGATATTTTTGATAACAATTCCCCATTCTAATTAGCCAGACAACCAGAAAAAGACTGGACTCTTGTTCTATACAGCATAAAAGAAAGAACCCTCCCTTTCCAAGAAAATTATCTTAGCAGAGAAAGTGAGCTTATCTTTCTTAATGAACGGAATTAAAATGCCACAACTGAAAAGTTAATAGCTGAAATGAAAAAGTCATTGCATGGATTTACATATTGGCTCATCAGAAGAAAAGGGGAATAAACATGAAGGCGGATTAGAAATTAACTACTCTGAAGGAACTCTGAAAGAAAAGGGGATTGGACTAATGAATTCTAATAGGTCCTGCCCACTATTTAACAGAGAGCTACCCATTTATTCTGGGTCAGGATAACAGGCTTGGAACTATTTGTACGGTCTTTTTCTCTTTTGGTGTCTAACTATATGATAGGCAGGATAAACAATCCCAAAGAGATAGGAAGGGACCCATGGTTTGAGGGGGTTGGGGAATGGGAGTGCAGACCCAAAACCCACCTGTAAGACAATTGGACAGAAGGGCCACATGGAACGGCCACATGGAACGGATGTTTGATAGTTGGGTTTATTGTGCTAACCTGGCCAATAGGAACATGTGGGATTAATCAGGTTGCAGTTTGACTGGAGAGCAAATTGATAAATGGATCTGCAAAGCCCGCCCCTCTCTCGTGCTTTCTGGTGATAGAGCGTGATGGAGCATGCTGCTGCTTTAGCTAGTTCTCTGCTCAACCTGTGAGCTACACCACTGCAGGCCATGCCAACCCATGGATCATGTCGCTAGAGTTTGAGGCTCTTTCGAGACCTGCTTCACCATGTTGCTGGGGCATACAGCACTTGAGTTTGAGGCTGGTGGATCCTGTTGCCTTGCATGGCTTTAGTTTGATATCCCACCCAGGCCTGCTTGGCTAACTAGTGACTGTTAGTGACCCACCCTGCTGTTTGCTGCCTTGCCTGAGGGAGGACTCTGCTGTCTGCTTCCTTGACCTTGGACACAGTAGCCCATGGGAATTGAAGGACTTTCCGTATATTTACTGTTCCATGGGAGTGAGTTGAACTGAACCCTCTGTACTGCTGTGTGGACTATATTCCTTCTCACTGTATAAACCTATCATCTTATATATACACATAATCATAAGTGAACTGGTTTTATTTCT